TGGATTAGACGGTTACATGAAGGGTGTGTCTTGTACTCTTGGAGTACATGTATTTAAAGTACACGTAGGGTGTAATTGATGATGAAGGAGCAAGATCTAGATGAGTTACTAGCTGGTCTAGGGGTAGTGGATAAACCCACCAGTTACATCGTACAGCTGCATTGTGCGACACTTTGGATTTCAAGAGTCGAAGCTAAAAAAAAAAGGGTCGTTTCTGGTGTAAACTGTCTCCTTACCCACCTCCTTCTGGTCATTGAGGTACTGGATAATCAAATCCATAGCTTTAACCCAGGCATTTCATTGGTCCAGAGCCTAGAAGGCGGTGGGCGTCACCAGCCTCAAATTGGTTGTATTTTATTTAACACCGATCAGTTGCACCTTTGGTGTTTAGTGTTTAAAACACATGTGTTTATCATGAGGTTACTTTGCGAAGTTATGAGTGACAAGAGTCGTGAAAGAGGCCTGGTACGGTTCATGTTCCTGAAGCAACGACCGCGAGTGATAAGATGTACGTAGTTCAGGCGAGATCAAGCCTTCTATTGAAGATGGGTACGGTTGCAATCTGGTTAAAACACAGATCCTATTTCGTTTCGTTTTTATAGTTTAAAATTTCGTTTTACTTGTCTTTATTACACTTGGATCTGGAAGACTTGTTATTTAACTCGTGTTCTGAATGGTGTCAGGGATACGACGAGCTTTAGGTGTGTTTTTCACGGAACTGTGGGTAATTCACTAGTAACATCAATGCTGATTGGTTAGTCAAATGTCTGACGTCATAGGGTCATAAGTCGGTCTTTTGACCCGTGACGTGACCTATCGCTATAACTTGTCAGATCTTCATGTAGTGTAGGCCATCGAAAGTATAAAAAAAAGAAACGAAATATAGATCTGCATTTTAATCAGATTGGGTACGGTTGCACAATATCGAACATAGGATACTATATTTAATTCGTTTCAGACGTACATGTACGCGTGTATTTTTAAATTTATTTGTTTGGCAGCCATGACATGATTTATGGATGTTTATAATGTCATCTGTCAGTGAAAGGTAGTGACATGTCATATGACATATAATGACAAACAGCGATTGGTATTTTCTTCCTACATGTTTTACTATTTAGACAAGGAGTCATGGGTCGTATTGTATTTGATTTCAGGGTCATGGGTCGTCTTCTATTTGTCGTGAAGGGAAGTGTAACCTTCGTTTTGTTTGAATAGTCACAAAAAAGAAAAAAAAGTACATACTCCCACAAAACTCTTTTTTTTTAATAAAAGAAAATAGACAGTTTGAGTTGTCGGGATGTGTGCAGTAAAGGTGATGCAACGAGATACGTGTAATTTTGTTGTGTTTTTTTTTTTTTTTTTTTTCGTATCCAGTGCTAAATTAGCTATGATAATATTCACAATAAAAATATCTTCACTGACGAAGGTCTCAATAGCTTGCATGATCTATATTCTCTCAGTCTTCGAAGATGATGATGGGTTTTGAATCTACGCCTCCGTATTCCTTCGTGGAGATCGAACGTTTTTCTCCACATAAATGTATCGATGGTTACAGGACTCTAGTTCAGCTCATTGGCGCCGCTTTTCCTTGCCCATCAATGTATCTTCACAGCACACTTTTCAATGGGAGAGATCCCTGCGTTTTGGGGGTTGCTTTTTGCATTTGCTTATTTGGAAGCCGATTCATTCCTATGTACCCCCACCCTACCCTGTCCGCAAGCTTTACACACTAAATTGACACCAGATCATAATTTGCTATATACACACCCCCGTGTCTTTCAATGGAGGCCAAACCAGTAACGACAGAGTCCCAACCACCAGGGACCACCAGGCATATCATTGGACTTGATTCGTACTTCTGTACTTTATACTGACATTGCATTGCTGCGTGAACAAGGAGATTCTTAAATCAAGCCACGTCAATCGAGAAATCGCAGTTTTTTCATTTTATTCTAGGATCGAAATGAAGTAACATGTTGACCGCTTCATGTACTGAAGGTCGTGGTGTAATTTTCTGCGAGGAATGGTATCCCTGAAGGGACACAAAAACCTTTCATGTTACTGCTAGTGCGATTTGTTATGATACTGTCATCAATTTGTAAATACATATAAGCATGCAGAGCTTCTTTCACGTCTTCGTTTTATGGGTGTGGTTATACAAAACTGTTCACGGTTAACAATAATAGACAATCGGAGAAATCTCCGGAACCCGGTACTTGAATGACGATATATCTATGATATTTTAAAGCTAATAGCAACCACACTTTTATGTTTATGGGTGTGACCTCACATTGAAGTATATTCCTATTTATAAAATAATTAAATTTGAGAAATGCAAGTAGCACGATGGCTATGTCAATACCAGAATACGATTTATTAAATTGTGTATAATGTGAGTAATCAATCACTTGATACGGATTAAATGGACATTTCCAACAGATATTAAAGTTGAGTTTAACGATGCAATTTACCATATGGTAATAGTTGTTAATGCTCAAAATATAGCATATTGAAACATGGTATTTGCTGGTTTGTCGGTTACTTTAATGTTTAATAAAGATATTGACACGGAACTAATAGCACAGATTTTGGACAGACAAATAATAAAAGTTAAGTATGGAGCTACAGAGTTCATCACTTCAAGGTTACTCGCATGGATTAAAAATGTCACATGATGTACCCACATGCCATCCTTATTCTCATGGTTCGATAGCGCGTGGAGCACCCCCCCCCCCCACCACCACCACCTCCTCCTTACCGTGTTTAGGTGATGGCTTCAATTCTACGTCCCATCCTACCCGTGACATGTCGGATCTGAACAGGGGACAACTATTGAAACTCCCCATGCTGCTTCCAGCTCTAGGAAATTCTTTGCATGGGGATCAATTTCCTCTGTGCCACGGCCAATGAAATTTTATTTGCCTGTTCCCCAATCCCTTTCAATTTCTGAATAAAATATTGTTTTACAAAAAAGATACAAAGTCAGTGTTGCAGTAGGCCAGTACTGTGTGCGAACAATCGGGTTTTGAGTTGTCGGGTATGTGCGGTATTTTTGGGATGACAACTGATTCCATGACAATGCGATTGTACTGGTTTCCTGTAAGATTACTATTTAAGGTGAACATGCACAGCTTACATGTACAACAGCGTGAGACACTTCCCCATAGCTTGACTGTACCTCCATTGTACGGAACAGTTGGCGGCCTGATTTTCCTCGGACATTCTCATTCGTACCACGTGCACAGACAATGGGTCGATATTAAAGACCGTTTATATACCCAATTTAATCCAGTATACACATTTCAAATTGTCTGTCTAAAATAATCTAAAACAAAACAAAACCCCACGAATTAATAAAACATCGGTACTCCAAAAGTTTGAGCTTGTGATCTAGTTATCGATAAAGTATTTTAAAGAAATTGTTTTTTATTCTTAAATTTTTCGATTTGCGAATCCCGAATTTATCCCAATTAATCCACTACCTATAGATCAAGGAAATCCGTTTTATAGTTTGTTGTTTTGTAATGAAAAGTACATTTTTGCCATACCGATTCTGTCGTGTATCCGATATATTTGTTGTAAAGAATTACATAGGACAAAACATAGGAAGTTGGAAGAAAAATATACACAAATATTATTTATTTGAATACGTGAGTTAATAGACCTTGCCGTCGTTTTATACATCAAGAAAAATCAGGAACAAAAACTGTAATAGGTGAAAGAAATAGTTTAAGGTTAATATCTTGTAATTTTTAGTTATAGATCTGCAGCAGGGCGGAGGGCTGACAAGGACAACTGTCTAGTCGTTCGGATGGGACGAAAAACCGAGGTCCCGTGTACAAATTGGCGTGCACGTAAAAGATCCCTTGACAGTTGGAATTCGATATAAGAGTAGGCCGTAGCGCCGCTGCTCGGGCAAAATTTCCCTCATAGCACACTGTATGGCGTATGCCCGCCTCCTTTTTCCCAGTTTAGGAGCAAAATAGTAGGACGCTAAACCCCATTTCATTTCATTTCTATAGATCTGCACTATCAGGTTATTTAAAAAAAAAAAAAATAAGTAAATTCAGCTTTTTGTAATTCTCTGCCGTAGTCAGTGGTCAGAGAGTTTTGGTTTACCTGAATAAGTAAATAAAATAAATAAATTACTTAAATAATTGATGGAATGTCAATTTTAGCCTGACAAGATCTTAGTGGGAGATGAATAATATTTATAAAGAAGTTTTGTTCAGCGAACAGGTACAAGACAGCTAGTGTGTCTGTCCCTACTTGTATACGTTTGATCTAAAACAAACATTGATTGTGAACTCAGCTAACAAATATATGTAGAGTTTGTTAGTCTAGTTAGTAGTGGCTAGAATTACTCGTACCAAGTAACGATAGGGCCAATTGTTAAACCCATGAATACCCCCTCTAGCTGTCATTTCATTGCCACAAAAACCGCCATTTTCTCAATTCATCTATGCGGAGCGTACTACTGTTTTATTTGCCCTCCAGTGATACAGACAAGCTCCAGTGATTTTTATTTTAATATAGAGCTATATCCTGGTGGTACGATCGTCTCATCAATTAATTCAATATAATTAAACACGTAGGATTATTAGATACCTTATTTACTGAAAGAATAATTTCACTTCGTAATATCCAGGTTACGGGTTCACGGCTGGTTTTTCGACGGAACACCCACCATCGTTTGCTCGATTTGCACCTTATCTTTATATTGGAAGAGGACCGAGCTGTGTGTATCGTTTTTATTAGAGGAGTGACAAGATCAAAGACGTTTAATTTTTGTTGACTAGCTAACGGTTTGACGTACATGTGTGGATGGTATTTATGTTATTTGTAAAAATTTAAAAAGGAATTGTTTATGTGTATATCTTTTTACGACCGGTTTAATTGCTTCAAATAGTTTAATGAAAAGTTAAAATAGGATATAGCGTGTTGGAAATACAATTACGTCATTGATAAGTAGATGTCATCCCAGATTGAAGCTTAAATATAAAAAGTAGTTGTAAATTACTGTGAAACCATCTATCCATTCATTTATATTCGTACATGTCAGTAATTGTCTGTGATATTTGTAACGTGTTGGTTTACAAGACGGAACAGACTAATGTAACGAGATTAAAGTTTAAGAATTGAGGAAGGATATACCCTGTTGACATTATCTCTCATTATTGTTGATATCACTATACATCGGTGATTGTTTCTACGTACAGTGTGTGACATATTGGATTTATTTCTTTTTTTTTGTTTACAAATGGATATAAAAGAGTAAACGTCCATTTTCAGAATGATCAGGTTTGTTTATCTTTTAATGGAACGAATTTGTTACTCTCTTTCAAATACAGTACTTAATATTTTCATGGGAACATCCGTTATTTTGTCATCGTTCCCTTCAGTCAACTGTTTGTATTCATGGGTTTCTAATTTGAATATCCTTTAGACTCGATGGTACTACATAATTTCATTTTATTACTTGGGGATCACGGTGGGTAAGTGGGTAAGGCGCTGGCTCGCTAGCCTGGAGGTCGGGTGTTCGATCCCTGCATTGGCCGAGAAAGTTCATCCAGATTTTCCGGCGTGGTTCCCCTTTGTCAGTGATGCAGGACGGAGGGCCTGACAAGGACAGCTGTCTAGTCATTCGGATGAGACGAAAAACCGAGGTCCCGTGTACACATTGGCGTGTACGTAAAAGATCCCTTGACAGTTGGAATTCGATATAAGAGTAGGCCGTAGTGCCGCTGTCCGGGCAAAATTACCCTCATAGCACACTGTATGGCGTATGCCCGTCTTCATTAGCCCAGTTCGGAGCAAAACAGTAGGACGTTAAACCCCATTTCATTTCATTACATTTTATTACTTTGTTGTCCAGTCGTCATTGGTTATTTTTAACAGTGATATAACATTTCAATGGAGGCGAAATCTTCAGTAAGAGATGCTGTTGTGTTTTACTTGTATTTTTTTTTGTTGACATTCTGTTTAACTTTTAAGTACTTTTATTTTGTTAACAACAATATGGATAAATTTCAATATGCATTTTTAGTTCATTCTAATTCCACCATGGCTCCGATGTTATCTTCTATCCAGAGGTGGGCGGTTGAGTGGCCGAATGGTTCACGCGTGCATATTGCATCATACGATCTATTACTGAGTCAAGTGGCGTGGTTTCGCTTCCTCGCTTGTTTTCGTGACAAGGAGTAGGATCCCCTGTCCAGTATCGTGGGTCCCCACCCCCACACTGTGAAAGACCCCTGCGCTCAAGTGAATTATTGAAATAGAATTGAACCATATCATGTTAGTCCCGAAATGACCTAGCTTGTGTCAATTGGACGTTAAACCCATCGCTCTCTCTGTCAATCTCTATAATGGTTCTGCAATGCATTTTATCCATTGCTATCTTTTAATTAAACGCTTTGGGCATGATGACCCAACTGTTTGATTAAACATGAAACGGGTTGTTATTATACTAATTTCAATTACGTCCTCATTATGCAGTATAGACATTCCTTGTAATTCGATACATAAATTCCGTGTGACAGACTCGAAACTATTTATCCTAGCCACATACAACTATTTGAAGGAATCAGTCAGTTTTATTTTGATTGGTAACAAGTTTACTGACTGATAGCAATCTGATTAAAATACAGATCTATATTTCGTTTCGTTTTTTATACTTTCAATGGCCTACACTACATGAAGATCTGACAAGTTATAGCGATAGGTCACGTCAGGGGTCAAAAGACCGACTTATGACCCTATGACGTCAGACATTTGATTAACCAATCAGCATTGATGTTACTAGTGGATTACCCACAGTTCCGTAAAAAAAACACACCTAAAGCTCGCCGTAACAGACCGTTTCATTGTCTTATCCCTGACACCATTCAGAATACGAGTTAATAACAACTCTTCCAGATCCAAGTGTGGTGAAGGCAAGTAAAACGAAATTTTGAACTATAAAAACGAAACGAAATAGGATCCGTGTTTTAACCAGATTGTGACTGACAGCTGCATTGGTGTCTGGATAACCAATTCTATAAAGCTGTCTCAGTTTGGTTGTTACGTTTATCCGACAACTTATTACACGTAAACAAGAGACCAGATTTCCCGGTTATGTAACCGCGCTAAACAATTCCGATTTTTGAACAGCACAATATTTAGAGATAACACTTTAAAGCAAGATAAATAGTTCAATTTTTGGGACATTTGATTTGTATTCTTAAATGCTAGAGATCGACCCAAATTCTTCTGTACTTGTACAATCCAAATAACAGTATAGATGTTTGAATAGTATCCTTTTTATACGCCCACATTGAAATGGGGTCATATATTGTTGTGGACGCTCTAGGGGCTAAAGTTAATATCCAATTGACTTTAAATTTATAGACAGTGTTTAAGTTCAAGAGACGTTGTTTTCACCGATTTCCAATAATTACTGCCAGAGTTATGTCCCTTGACTGAGTTTAAGGTCTTCAGACGAACAAGTATGTTGATTTGAAGAGCTAAATCCATGATATTAAATGTATTGTATATACTGAACGTTAGCATGTGTCTAACAAATTCTAATGATTTTCTGATAATTACTTAATGAATGGTTACTCTTAATCAGAATTTTGTGTATTGTAAATGTTTCTTTACCGACAAAAGTAAAAATATGAGGCAAGATTTGTTGACTGCCGGACTGTTTAGTTGCTGTGGGCGTATGTTTCGTTGTCTGGCAACCTATCTTTACAATGACATGTTTGGGGCAAAATCAGTAAATGTAATCACATGTATTTCTCCATTTGCCATCTGACTTGTATAGGTTGTATTCTCCAATCTCCATTTCATCGTACACAAAGGCCTATCGTAGGATGATAAGCTCAAGTTGGGAGTAAATATAACATTCAAAGAACGAATTCATTCTGTAAAATGGAGATTATTTGTGTCATAAATTATCCCCCAGTAACTTCAACAACTGTGCCATATAGTATGCTTGCTCTTTCTAGCTGTTTTACATATACTACTCTATTGCCTATTTTATGTAATAAACTTCGTATTATTGTTTTATAGATGTTTACCAGATGATGGTATCCCAGCCATTGCCTATGGACACAGCCGACAAATGGATGGCAACTGTTTGCCTGGAGACATCAAATTAAATGCCCATCTACGTATACAGCCCCATCTACAGAATGGGCCAAACACAGGGGCCCAGACCATGTACTGCAGTGTGCCCCATAACTTTGAACACTACATGCGACAAACGTAAGTATTGGACAAATTTCTCTTTTAGACCTTTTACATTATGGTATTCTTAGATATGTTTTACCATTCTGGGGTTCGACAAATCATTAAGGTAGGATGATCCCCAGTCAGAGTTCACAGTTTGTTTATTAGGCAACTAATAACACATATACTATTATATTCTAATGTAGTTACATAATGTTCTAAATGTCGGTTATTGTTTGTGTCACTTGTGACATTGACAAGGACTCCTATACTCCCGTGAATTATTTGAATAACGATACATGTATGCCATGTGATAGCTTCGAACAGACTTAATCTCTCTCACTTACTCCCCCAAACCTCCGCCCCCCCCCTCTCTCTCTCTTTCTCTCTCTGGAATCAGTATTTTAAATGGATATTGGCAATGCAAGTATTTGACCAAATACCAAAGTGATAAATATCAACGCCCCAACAGTGCAGTTTCTTAAACATGCATTATGCAAGAGCTAAATCTGCCTATTTCAGGTCTTTCTTTAGGCCTGAAATGTTATCTAAATTATTAATTAGACATTAATTAACCTATCCAGGCCATAATCGACTCTAGATGGCAGCACTAGCCTGCGATCGTTAGTGGATTGTAAGCCGATTTACTGCATAACTTTCCTTCTCTATTAAACGATTAAATGGATAATCGAGACTATGCTGTTTATCGTACTGACTTTATTAATGATGACCGAGGCTTATGGGAATTTCAGTCGCTTAGTTCTCGCTTCATAGTGGATCAATTTGAATGAAATTTTCACCAAATTGCCTTTACATTATCTAGTTTTTAACTATTATAGTGAGAACTGCCAACTCGTTACCGAATCTCCCATAATGTATCTTTAAATGTAAATAGATTCGTATACTGAGTAATCAAGCTCACCCAGGGGTCCATCACCGACGTCTTGTTCAAATTGTTAATCATACCAATACGGTTTTCATACACAATGATTTGCTTTTATTGTGATCATAGTAAAACAAGTCAATATATTCTGTAATGGGTTATCAGATGAAGTCGATTTCTAGATGACTGAAGATAAAAATACACCATTAGTATAAACTAACTGGCCAATCGCCTTGAAATAATAACTTCCACTTGTCCTGATTTGACGATAACATTGTCAACTCTAAAAAATCCCACCCAACCGGACGTTTTGTTATTCGAAATATTGGCCTTGTAGATGTATATTCATTTTCATAAATACTACACACCGAGGATATTTGTAGGAGATTAGTACAGGTGTGAATGGTACGCAGAGCTCATCTGTGACTTGTCACAAGTAAACTAAACCCAGTTAACCCTTTCCAGTTATTCTAGACCCGATTAACTCACTCTTTAGCTGTTTTGTCAGGTATTGTATCTCTGGTGTCACATCTGTAGAAAACCTGTGACGAGATAAACTTGACGTTTTGAAGGTCAAACTTTATAAGTTTGTTTTTTAAATCAAGATCGAATTACTAATTACATGCTTTTAAGAAAACGGATGACATAAACAACAGGGTATTTTATTCGTCGATTGATGGTTTTAAGCGCCATTAGAATTAAATGAAGCGGTTGTCAAGGCTTGCTTACATTCTCTTAAATAATTTCTGATGACAGCAGATCACTCTGCACGGAGTATATCCGCCTTCATTAATCCTGTTGCTTCACAAGTCAGACGTTAAACCCCATATCATTTATTAAAATCCCTGATGAATGGTTATCTAAGTCTCTAAAATATGCTAAACATTTTTCTTGATTTGTTTTTCTTATTTTTACTATTTTAAGAATTAAATACTTAACCACATTTCAGAAATATAAACAAAACAATATGGTTAGAGATGTGACTTATGTTGTTTCAAGATGAACACCTAACTGATGTAATCTTTTTAGATATTTTCCCCGACTTCTACTACCAGTTTAAATTACACATACTCTTTATTTGCACCATCTAGTATTGTTTACTTTCTATAAATAGATTACAACTGTCGTAACACCTATTGCAATGTCATATATGAATAAGTAAATGAGATGAAATGTGGGTTAACGTCTTTCTTTTCTGCATGCAACCGACTGATGAAGATGGTTTATAGAAATAGACCACTTCCAGTTCGATATGAGGCTAAAGTGTTTTCAATATCCCATAAAAACTATATTCGGAAGTTAACATTTTGAATTTAATTTCCTTGATATTATATTAGAGTCACTCAGACTATCTAGTTTTAATTCCATTTGAGAGAGTAATTCGCTGACTGATTAACCAGGCGGTCCAGGGTCCGACCCCGCCGTTGGCCGAGAGCGTTTACCGGGGTTTTCGAACCTGGTTTCTGCTTCTTATCCATGGTGCAGGATGAAGAAACATCGTACTTTTTATGGCATGAAACACCGAGGTCCCTAGTACACGCAGGTTTGCCAGTAAACGAACCCTTGACTGTTGGAATTCGAAAAAAGAGTTGGCCGTAGTGCCGCTGTCGGGGCAAAATTTCCCTCATAGCACACTGCATGGCGTCTGCCCGTCTTCATTAGCCCAGTGGAGCAGGACGGTAGTACGTTAAACCCCATTTTATTTCACTCAATTACATTAGACCAGTTAACCCCCATTTCGTAACTCCCATAATGTTTGGAATTCCGAAACATCAGTTCAGAAAGTATGTAAATAGAGTGGTCACATCAGTGTAAATTAGTTATGCAAATATCTTGTTACTCGTATTTGTGTTTCTTCCGTTTTGGCTGCATGTTATAATACGTTTATAAACACTTTGAAATTTTAAAAGCCGCCATGATGATGTCTCCCATAGTTCTCATTGAGTTAGGGAGCGGGTCGGATATTGGTATTATGAACATACACACCTAGTGATATTTTTTGAAAATTGTAAAGCATTAATATATATGCACGAAACAGACATTTTTTCTTCAATTATAAGCACCTATTGATGTCCAAAACGCGTGACAGACCGACAAACGGACAATGACTTTTCTAGACATTGGCAGTTAGTAGACGTGTCATCTCTGTTACTCCATTAGAATGAAAGTGGTCGTATTCCAAAGTCTCGATAAATCCGATGCTCATCATTTCAGCACAATTAAAGAGACTATATCCGAACCTGGGCACATATTTCAATATTAGCAATATTAGGCTTCTAACGTCCAAGCATGGGCACATATTTCAATATCAGCAAAATTTGGCTTAATACGTCCGAGTCTGGGCACATACTTCAATATCAGCAAAATTAGGATACAGACATCCTAAGCTGAGCACATATTTCAAATTCAGCAAAGATGGCTACAGACGTCCGAAGCGGAGTACTTTTTTTCTTATTAGCACGAATCAGCTGTACTGCATTGTCATAGTAAAAGTTTAACCTGTAGGGTAGGGGAAATTTAAGAATATAAAACACATTAAAGAAACTAAAAATTATACTGGGGTTTATATGTACGTGTACATAACTGATTAGAAATTACAGTAAAAACAGAAAAGATTGAATGTAATTCAGTTTATATACATTTCTTATTACATTACTATATGCGTTGCGACCCATTTGTGTCAATGTCTAGGTCCCAAATATTAGCGACTTAGCTCCTTTAATATAAATATAATCTAAATTCTGGTATTTATCTACATATGAATTCTTATCTGGAGAGCATGCGCAATAAACACTATCGGTGTAAACTGGAATAACCAGACAGTAGAGATTGCTATTCGATTGAGACTTCTAGCTTATTTCGCCGAACATAACTGATTAGAAATTTCATTAAAAACATAAAAGATTGAATGTAAATCAGTTTGTATACATTTCTTATTACATTATTATATGCGTTGCGACCCATTTGTGTCAATGTCTAGGTCCCAAAATATTAGCGATTTAGCTCCTTTAATATAAATATAATCTAAACTCTGGTATTTATCTACATATGAATTTTAAATCTTAAAAAAGCGACCAAATATATGCAGTAGTTTACTATTTTAAAATGGGAAATGTCTTTGTTATTGTTTTCTAAAAGTCCATTACGATAAAAGCCAACAAGATCAAGATAGAGATCAACTGAATTTACATTTCTGAAAACACCTGTTTGGGCTGACCCCTTGGACAAACACAAAGTATGTGTTGCCATAGTTACAATAAGCATAGTGTACCTACATCAAACAAAAATGGCGACCGCGGTATAAAGCGTACCAACGAAGGAAAGACTTGAGATCAGCGACCAATGACGTTTGATAATTAGAGTATCCCTCCGTGTCTGTCACCAGCTGTGACGTGACAGCTCCTTGTTGAAATGGATGAGATAATATGTCATGATCGGTGTTCTGTAACTTATTAACATATTCTCCATTTATTTTTTCTAACTTGTTTAAATATTTATTTTTCTTTTATATAAAATACAATAATAGATCAAATATGCTTAAAGCGTTCCCGCTATATCAAATATCAAAAATCGGATTTTAAACTGATAAATGCATTGCATCCAATAACATGTCCACACCGAAAACTCTTAATATAGCAGTTTGGTGAATTAATAGGATTTAAACGTATATTTCTGATATTAAACTGATAAATGCATTGCATCCAATAACATGTCCACACCGAAAACTCTTAATATAGCAGTTTGGTGAATTAGTAGGATTTAAACGTATATTTCTTTAAAACATAGCCGGTTCTCGGATATTTTATTTGTTAAACTCCTAAGGTAAGAAAATGGGTTTAAAGATTTAAGACCCCGATTTCTGTGGTTTTTACATTTGCAATCTTGTATATTTACTCGTCTAACACTTGTTGTCTTGCTTAATTCTTTGTCCAAATTATACCTGTTGATTCAACAAAATTTACCCCGTCATTTAATACAGTCATTAACAGTAAGTGTTGAGAAACTAGGTTTCCGCACGAAGTTGTTTTCGGATTCACGCAATCAATATTAAATAAGATGCTGTGAAGTAATTCACACGGGTTACACATCTGTGGTGTATTTTTGTATTAGAGCATTTTGCACAGTTGTGAAGAAAACACTATCATCATCAGATTTTTTGTACCTGTATTTAACTTCGCTGTTACCTGCTGTAAACGCTAACAATGTCACGCCTTACAAACTAATTCAGAGAACAGACAGTTTTTCTTTCGCCCATTAACAGTAGGAATCTGTAAAATAAAAATCAGGGTACGGTTCATTTTGTGTGCGAGATTAAAAAAAGTGTAATCTCGGAAGGCGTATAACATTGTTCGGGTTAACGTGTTCTTGCCACAAGGTCGCCTTAAAGGTTCATATTATATGAAATGAAAAGGGGTGCAAAGGTCCTACTTTTTTATACCAAACGAGCTAATACGCTATACCATGGCTGATCTATTGAGAAACTTTGCCCGAACAAGCCTTTCCACCAAGTCCACGTTGCATTCAAACTTCAAGGGTTACTAAATGCTCTTCCGTCCGACACCACTAGCAAGCTGATCAAGAAAAAAGTCATAAATGAAAGTCATGTATTTCCAAATTTCGCTTGCGCGCAGGGGTTCTTAGCAGTGGGGAGAAACCGGTGTATCCACAGAAAACCAACGATGTTGGAAAGGGGACCCTACTCCTTGTCACGTACAAGCTGGTATTAGAAACCACGCCACTTGACCCAAATGACAGACCTTATGACATAAAGCCAACACTTTAAACCATTACCCCCGTCCCCAGCTCTTTAAATGCACAGATTAGTGAAATGGACTAATAAAGAAAACTCGATCCATTAAGATTGCGTTTTGGTATATTTCCTTTTTGAATTCACTCGACTGAAAAAGAATGCAATAGAATATATATATAAAGTTTATTAAAACATAGAATTAAGTGAACAGAAGGCACGGGGTAAATACAAGGATAAAAGACCCGGCAGTTTGGCTAATATTGACATAGAGGAGTAGCCTGGCACACTACAGACCTAATTGATGGTAGTTTCACTAGAGCCGAGACAGTTAAATATTGCTTGAATAAAGAGCCGAATGTTTGCTTAAAACATCTTTCTTTCAAAGCTTGTGTAAATTTTGATGTTAACCAAATATACGGGAAAGCGCTCACCGCGTATGTCTTCAAAGTAATTGTATTATAGTTAGACCCTGCTAGTATTATATATCAATTTTACTTTAAGAACGGTACTTGTTTTAAGAGTGTCCTTGGTCTTGCGTTTACCCATAACCCCCCTCTGTGCGCCATGACACATCATCGCCGTTATTCTGGTATCAGCATGTCAAGAAGATTCATTGGGTAAGACGTTGGCATGAATTGAGTTCATCTTACCAACTGTTTTTTTTTTATAAATCCATGATATTTTTATTCACCTAATATACACTTGACTTTGAAACCAAAACTTTTGAAGTCATGTAAAAATCTGTTCTGCACGGTTAGATGATTTTGTACGCGGCATTAAACTAAACATCGATACCATCCCCGACACAGAGAAGGGTAAACAAGGTGACTTATTGCATATTGCTGGGGTTTATCGGGTGGATTTTAAAAAATGGTTTACTTTTGTTTACTTTCAGGCCATTACCCGACAGTCCACCAGATTCTGGAAGTGAGCCATATTCTCCACATGATGGACAAAATCTTCCTCATATAGGTAACCACAGTTATTAGAGTACCATTGTAATTAAACACCAAACTTAAATTATATTGGGATAAAGACGGCACTGGAATAGAAACACATTAGATAATATAGTTTACTAAAATGGTTCTGGATTGGATCTTTGTTAAACTCGCAACTAATGAAAATGCAGGGAACATTTTAATATGCTAAAATGAGAAAATTCTATATATTAACCTTTCTTTGAGAATATATGTATACAAATTCTGTTTTTAACTGGCAACTTAACCACCCGTTTTTGTCTTCAGATCCTAAACACGGACATGGACATGTTAATGGAATGACTTCATTACAGCAACCCCCACCAATGTATCCTCAGAATCATGGTGGTATGAACATGCCATTAAAACTGCCAACATCATCATATATGAACGAACCACCAAAATTAAATCACCTACCACAGCAACAGTTACCACCGACAACCATGCACCAGGTGTCACCACCAATCAATCATCCGGTTTTACCAAATCATTACGGTGTCGGGTAGGTTCTGATAATGTTTAGTTTTGACCAGGATTCGACTCGTATCGCGCATTTCTTTGGGACTGGGTGGCGATTTAGATCCCCTATTGTCCGTCGGTGATTTTATTTCCGATTTGGAGAGATGTATTGTTATTGTAAACAATGCAAACTTAGTATTAATTTCAAGTGGTCATCACTTGACATCTTTTGAATGGGTTATTACTCATGACAAAAGTTTTGAACTGGGGCGCATCCTAGATTCCATTAGCTTATGGCTATGTTCAGGATATTTTAATTTTCTACTATGTCGTTTATTAATCAATGTTAAGATGAATGGCACGGATGCATTTATACTGATAATTACCCAATGGTTAAACATACATTATGTAAGAGCTAAGCCCGTAATCAACTCTGAAGACCATCGGATGGCTGGAATATTGAATGGATTATAACATCCGTTGTCATTTAATAACTAGCCGGTAAAATGGATAATCAATCAATACTTTGTATAATTATCGTAACAATAGTATTTGGCAATCAAGACTTTTCGCTCAAAATAAAGTAATTAGACAGAAATTTTCAATATATTCAGTTGTCATTATCTATTTCTGAACTATTATAGCAAGAACAGCGAGCTCTTTATCTAAATCTTACATAATGTACCTTGAATTGCATCTGGTAAGTCATGTTTTGCCATAGTTATGTTATCTAGCTACAGCTGGCAAGTTAAACTATACTCACGTTTTCTCTTCTTATTTCCAGTCCAATGAATATGAACAATCCTACTCACAAAAAGAGAAAATACTCGGAATCACCCAACAGTACAATAAACAGTAATATGATGAACAATATGAATGGATTACTTAGTATTAAACAGGAACCACCGGGTATGATTTTACAGTAATTATCACTTGGGTCGGGTGAGAGATAGACCTCATCCTGTTGTTTGCTTCACATTATTAAAGAAATTTTCCACCATAAAGACTTTGATTTTGCAGTTCCATCTAATTATGAACCGATATTGATAATTTGTTAGTATCAAAGAATGGTTTGGCTAGACTACAAAATTCTTCATTTTAACAAAATCAGATGATTTGCTTGGTTTGTAACTAATACACGGAATGAGTCAAGTTGTGTTCCAGACTTTAATGACTCCTGCCATCACCCATACAATGATCTATCGACCTACATTTGAACCTGATAGGTCATTATATTGCCTTTGACCTGATTATGTATTGTTTGTGAATTTCGGAACATCAGTAGCATAAGGTGTTTCGGAATCACCATTTTGATTAGATAATTGTGTTTCTACAGGTGCCAACTTTCCTGGGAATTATGCTGGATTGCCTGATTGTACAGAGGATGATTATAGTTATGATATGGATGCTAGTGGAAGTTTTATGGACAGTTCTTATCAGGTTATTAAATGGCAGCTGTATCAGACATCTAAATGGGCAATACTTACAGACTCCGAACTCAAAGATTTGTGAGTAGTTCTACCTTATTTGATATACGGCACACAATTCTAATATATATAATGTCCCATCGCATCGTTTTTATATACACCAACACTGATTTGATAGGCAATTAGTAGCGAGGCTATAGTTGAGTCTACGTTACAAGCATTTTCTGGTGTAATATTTGTTTTGAAAAAATGAAAAGAATGTCATATTATGTTTAAAGTAGCATTGGGGGCATCTGATTATTTTATGAAACGCTTAAAATATGGAGTTATATGCATCTGATGATAAGTATGGACTTTGTTTTTCTCCACCAGACCCCAGATAACATTCCGTGTTGACGCTGATAAAGGCTTTAACTACTCTACTTCCGATGAATCATTTGTGTGTCAGAAAAAGAATCATTTCCAGGTCACAGTTCACATGGGTATGCACGGACATGCTAAATATGTCCGTACCCCAGAAGGCGTTAAAAAGATCGACAACTTCTGTTTACATTTTAAAGGCATTAAGGTAATTAAACTAATTTTTTTGAATATTTATGCATGGTCGTATCTTGAATTGGATATGATGACCGACAGTCATTTTAACATATATAGTATATGACGCTGGATGGATGTTACTGTAATCGATTATTGTAACGGATGTTATATTCAATCGATGCTGCTGTGATGAATGTGCCTGTAATCGATTATTGTAACGGATGCTATATTGCAATCAATTATGCTGTGATGGAAGTTACTTTAATCGAGTTTTGTAATGGATGCTCTATTGCAATTGATGCTGCTGTGATGGTAGTGACTGTATTCGATTATTGTAATCGATGTCGTATAGCAATGGACTTACTGCAGTCGATGTGATGGATTTGACTGTAATCGATTCTGTTGTTGTAATTCATGTTAATGTAGTTTGTGTTACTGTAATCGATACAATGTTATTCTAATCGATACAATTGTGATCTGTGTTACAGATGGAATCACCAACACAAAGTATCAAAGTAGAACAATCTCAATCAGATAGAAGTAAAAAGGCCTTCAACCCAATAAGGTAAGTCATAGTAATCGAAAAAGAAATTTCCAATCGTCTAACCTTCCCACCTTGCTATATTCAGATTCTTTTGTGCAACATTCATATGGGAGGTCATTGAAATAAAACCAATCTGCGTAAGTTTCTCAACTAAATATGCTGTTTCTTCAAATGTTTACATTTCGCTTCGTTTTATTGTAGAGTTGATTTAACACCAGAACAGGTTACCAAGGTGACGGTTGGTCGCCTTCATTTCTCAGAAACCACGTCGAACAACATGAGGAAAAAGGGTAAACCTAATCCTGACCAAAGATATTTTATGTTAGTTGTCTCTCTACATGCCCACTGTGCGGATTCTAATCATATGATAGCAGCTAGTAATTGTGAGAGAATTATTGTCAGGGTAAGTAATTCTTTAAGAAACATGAAACCTTAAATCGAAATCTGGAGTGCTGCTACCTGGCAATATTAGTATTAAAAATTAGCAATTTCAAGTACATTAGACATCACAGTTAAGTAGCTCGTTCCCTTTGTAATTTCCTCCCGTAAAGGAGATTTCATATACACTGACAGGCTTTAATTTGTCATTACCTGTTACCCTTCATTGTGTCTGTGAAATGCTATCATGACTTTTACCCATTTCTATAGAATGCTTTGTGCATTTACCCATATCCATAAAAATACTCTTTTGTGGCTTTATCCATGTCTCTACAATACTGTATTGGCCGTTGCCCGTTTCTCTAAAACGATTTATTGTGCCTTTACTCATTTCTCTAAAATACTGTATTGTGCCTTTACTCATTTCTCTAAAATACTGTATTGTGCCTTTACTCGTGTATCTAAAATGACTTATTGTGCCTTTACCCATTTCTCTAAAATACTGTGCCTCTGCTTTTTTTTCTAAAAAGACTTCTTGTGGCCTTGTCCATTTCTAAGAATTGATCTCTATTTTCTTAGTTCATTATTGTAATTAATGTGGTATATTTATTTTGAACATCTAGGCATCCAACCCAGGTCAGTTTGATAGTGATGTAGATGTATTATGGCAAAAAGGACACACCCAGGAATCAGCTTACCATGTAGGTAAAGTAGGTGTCAATACAGATCACCCCGAAGAAGCTTTAACTGTCCATGGAAACATTCGTCTTACTGGTCATCTCATGCAACCATCAGATGTGAGAGCTAAAGAAAACTTTAAAGAAGTAAGTATATAAGATCCAAGAAAATTAAAGAATCAAGGAGACAAGTTTAACAATATAAAACTTGATCAAATAATCAGACAAGCTTAGTAATCTAAAATTTGATAAGAGTTCACGTGTATTACTCGATTTGCATTATACGACATTGTACTTTAGATATTGTGGCTAAGTTAATGATAGTTCGATCTTGTTAGTTAATATTAGTGCCACTGCCAGAGTATTATCTAGAAGTACCCCTCTAGAAGTCTTTATGCATAGTTTATAACTTTTCAATAAGATAAGAAGTGATATAAGGTATTCGAGAAATTACACAAGTTTGTAACGCATCCCACGTCTTTAATACAACAGATAGAACATGTGTGGATGCTCAAGTTAAGAATTACACAAATTTATATCTTATCCCATGCCTTATCCCATGGGTAATAGACAGTAATATAGTAATGTATTTTTACCTTTAATACTAAGTTCCCAAAAATGGTTTGTGAGGGAAAAATGAGCCGCGGTTTTCGTATTTTTATTTTAAATATATTCCCTCTTTTCAGGTGAATTCTAAAGAACAGAAAGAAAATGTGGAGAAGATTATGATCTATAAGTATAATTATAGTGAAGATTTTGCTGAAACTGCTAACCTACCACCGAACTTTCGGGAAGATACAGGTGTCATCGCCCAAGAGATCAGAGAAATTCTACCGGACGCTGTTCAAGAAACAGGGGACGTTACTCTACCCAATGGATTAACCATTGACAACTTCCTAGTCGTAGACAAGGTATGGGCTTTTAAACTATTTTGAAAATAAAAAAAAACAATCAAAGGCACACCTTTGCATAATATTATTACTCAGATGTTTGGCTAACCTGACACAGTAGTTTTGGTAGAAGTCGGACTACCAACAGAACATTGAACCGATAGGACAGTAGTTAGATCTTAATGTACTATAGAACAAGAAAACATAAATCAGTATCAGAAGATCAAATTGAAATTGTTTAAGAACAATATGTCCGTGATTTCCAAACTATTACGATCAGTATATTTGTTTTGTTTTTTGCGAGTCTGTTTATTTTAGTATCATATTCACATTTTGGAGGTTGGGTGGCCGAATAGTGTAACGCGTGCCCTTTAGGCTTCAGATCAGATGGTCTGTCATTAGGTCAAGGAGAAGGGTCGCTTGTCCAGCTTCGTGGGCTTTCTCCTGGTCCGCCCTGTTTCATCTAACTGTTCAAGATCCCTACGTGCAAGCGAATTGTTGAAATGAAATTGAACCATATATTAGTACCGAAATTACCTAGTTTGTGGCGAGTATATGTTAAACTCCATTTCTCTCTCCCATAATTTGCACGTTTGTTTATTTTACTATTATGCTTATATTAGTGTAATGTTGACGCATTTGGGAAACAAACTTTTATATTTCAGGATCGTATATTTATGGAAAATGTGGGAGCTGTGAAAGAATTGTGTAAATTAACAGACAACCTTGAGATTCGTATTGATGAACTGGAAACTATGAACACTAAATTACTCAAATTGAAACGTTATGATAGTTTGAAATCAACGGCAAGTTTTAAATCTTGCTCTAGTATTAGTACTGTTAGGTGAGTATATAAAAAAATCAGAATCTTGGCGTTAGTCACCAAGGAGAGCATACAGATTTCGTGATACTGATCTTGAGACATATCGTTGTTTTTATTCCACACATTTAATTTAAACCTGACACCATTTGTTCTGAACATGTAAAATTTAGTTTAAACCTGACACCGTTGAAAATTGTTCTGCACATGTAAAATTTAGTTTAAACCTGACACCATTGAAATTTGTTTTGCACATGTAAAATCTAGTTTAAACCTGACACCTAATAAGTAGGTATGTGCATGTAAAATTGGTTGGTTTTGCAATACATACTGAATGCAATTTCCTATCTATATTTATTTGACAGTTCTTCACAGCCACAGCAACCAACGAAGAAGAGCTCAAATCAATCGTCAACTACATCATCACCGTCATCCAACACTCGTCACCATCATCGTCATCACTCAAAGAGTAAACGAAGTTGTTCCCGTCATCAACCACCCGTACAATCCAATATGTGCAGCAATCGTTTTATACAGATTACTATTATTATACTCATTCTTATAATGGCCTTTTGGTAAGTCTTTCATAAACCAGGTATGCATGCGCGTTGCATCGTGAGGTCTATCATTGGGTCATGTCGCGTGGTTTCGATTCTCCGCTTATACATGACTAGGAGAATGTTCGCCTTTCCCATCTCGTGGGGTTTCTCCGGGTCCCCCGTTTCCCCCCGATTGCTAAAGACCTCTGTGCGCAAGCGAATTATTGAAATAAAATTGAACCATATGTTGTCCCGAAATGATCTAGTTTGTGTCAAGTTGGTGCCTCTCTCTCTCTCTCTCTCTCTCTCTCTCTCTCTTTATGGATATACGCACTGTTGGCGTTCATGGAAATTCCATTAATATTGTTTCCTCACTTGATTCTTCTAGTATGTATAATAAATCATCGTTGTTTTCGTATTTCAGTCTCGTAGCAATAACAACCTTATATATCATAGAACGTCACAAGACTCCTAGTTCTGGAACAGCCAGTCTACAATCACAGTATCATCATACATTTTTACCGTACGTTTCAATGTTTTTCTAAGAACACCAAATGTAATTTTCAAATTGTTTGTATAATTAAGCTTTACCAGGTGTGTGAACTGGATTCTCGGAGACGGTTAACGTAATAGAGAACCAAAACCCGGAAGTTAAATGTAAATAGTCGACTCCATTCGTCTATGTATCCTATCGTAAGTGCTCACGCAAACAGATGGGATATAAATAGCTGGAGTACAATCGAAAGTATAAAAAAAAAGAAATAAAATTTAGACATGCACTTTAATCAGAATGAGATATTAGTACTCATAATGTCAAAATCAGAAATATGAGACAGGTAACTCAACTGGTATTCTCATTTCTATCTATTTTAACAGGGGTCCGACGTTACCGACCACAGCCAAGACTAGACAGTTTATTCCTACGGTACAAGAATCGAAATCAACTCCATCACACGATAAACCCACTTCAGGAACTCCAGTAGTGCCTACCACAAAACGACCAAGACCTATTATACCGGCTTACCCAACATGTGGTGGTGAATGTGAGCAGTTGTGCTGTCCTTCTCCGGTTGCTGACGATCAGCCAAGTAAGTTACTTCTGGAAAGTTCAGATCTATAGATCTTCTTAAACAATTTACACCAATAAAATAACAGTATAATATTTTGGGTGTTGAAAGTATTCCTATTTGATGAAATAAAACGGTATCAATATTTTACGGACATATATTCACAAACATTAGTCCGACCCTTCTTTGGAAGGCATGTCCGGCCTTGCGTTCTTGGACATTTTCAATGGGCAGATATATTATAAACTTGTCAGTAGCTAGTCAAGTTTTAGTCCAGAAAATTCAGGAATTGGGACATATATGTTATTAGTCAGATATATAAACTTTGTCTTTGCTGTCCAGTGCAATCAATTATTATTTTTATTTCTTGATTTGTATTCTTGTTAATTGTTGTAGCCTTGCGTATGCTGGCCTTCCCAGGTATTGAAATTAACATATGTATAAAAAATCACACACTTCGCCCCACCCCTTCCCTTAAAACATAAACACACCGCTATGCAATGATGCTGGATCGACTATTGTAAATTTAATGGGGTGTTTAATGTTTAATGTATGAAAATAGTCGTAGTTCTCTTCTAGATATCAAAATATTGCTGTAGCAAATTAACAAATTCTGAAGAGGTTTTTGTGGAAACGTATAGAAATTCCCCAGATAATGTCTTTATTTTGTTTACAAAGTGGTCTTTGCTTTATTAGTTATGTTTTGTCTATCAAAGCTATGTTATGTCTGATATTCTGTACTGACACATGTCAGAAATGGCATTCATGTAAACAAACATTAAAATTGGAACATAAACATTATAAATTGATCCATTTTGAGGGATCTCCTTTAATTAAATAATTGTTAAGTATAATTATTGAATATTTTAAACTGGTATTCTTTGGTATAATTTAAGTATTATTGAGGACATGAATGGCATAGTTGAATGGCATCAGACAGGTTTTGTGCACGAGCCATTTCTCTTCATTTTTAAATTGTAAGATCTATCCTCCAAAATCACCGTCTCATCCAACCCCGTTGACGTACAAGACCCCAAAGGAAGCATTATTACCTATCCCAAACTACACTAAATACTACATTCCTCAATGCACCATATAAACGCTGCAGACATATTTTTTATTTATTTCAAATTTCATACTTATATATTGTATATATTCAATTTAATATCGAAAATAACCAGACGATTAATACTATTTACCACATCTCGTCCGTTATACGAGTGGGCTTAAACAGTGTCAGCTTAATCAATGTAGTTTCTCCGTTACTCAATTACATGCTCGTGTCAGAAATGATCGGATCCATGGTGAGAGTATCACGTTAGTTACCAAACCGGAGATTCCTTGTTCGTTCTCCTGTTGTTGGCCGAGAAACTCGAACTGACACGTTCATATTAGGCAATGGTTAAAATATAGGCGTCTAAAACATGATAACTTAAAAATGATAATCAATAGGCCATGCTGGATACACTGTTCCCGCATATGGGTCATATTTTGAATATTGGGCAATTTGTTGGGGTTTTTTTTCATCGACCACTTTGAAATTATCTTTGGGTGTAGGATTAAGGAGTAATATTTTCAAGTTTAATTATATGGTGATATAGGTGGTTAACAGAAACAGTGGTGTCTCATCATATTGCAGAACAAGTGGGTACCGCAATGATATAATTGACATTTTGTTTTGTAGTTAATGGTGAAGACAATTATTCTGACCAGGGAGAAAGGGGTGGCGAAATACATGAGGTACGTTTGTTTTATTGCCACTCTAGTACATTTCAATAACGGAGAGGATGCATTTGCGAAGTTTGGATAAAGCTCAATTTTCTTTGGTGCACCACAACTTTAGTTACCATAGATAACATTTGGGATGGGGGCGTAATCCATATTGTACATCCATTTACTAGTTTCACTATGCACTGCCCTATACATGTGCGGTGCCCCCTACCCCACCGGCCCACCCCACCCTCCCAAAATCCGTGCATAGTCTAAAATAATGCTTGACTAAACAGACCATAATCTTTATTAATCCCATACACCAAACAGAATACAGGTTATTTATACAGTTTTCTCGATTTTTAAAAAAAAAAGAACTTTGACTTCTTTATTAATACAATTGCTATTTTGATAATTTAAAGTATAATTTATCAAAGTAGCCTTTTAGTTGTATGCTAATATTCTATTTCTTTGTTTTTTTGTAGCCACCAGCAGGACGTAAGACAGTAGTTATTGACCTACCAAATGATGCACGTGAACCGAAGGTCATTAATAATAATGATAGCCAAAATCCACCTTATCACGTGATCAACAACAATCTTAACATAGTGCGATATAGAGTTAAGCGTAGTACAGGTACGAGATATGGTTTTTATAACCCCATGTGTAAATAGTACCATATATTGACCTCCCCTTGACTGTCCGTCAGTCAGTTACTTGTTGCCATGAACCTGTCCAAGTTTCTTGTAAATGCTCCTGTTACCTACAAAAATATCGAGCCTCGACAACTTTTTTGAACAATCCAGACAACTTAGCATACTTCTTTCAATTAACGTGAATGAGGAAGAAAAAAAAGCAGCCTTTAACGGGTGATATATCACATGACGTTATCATAATCCAAAGAGATTCTTCATATCTTTCAGCGTTCCATATTCAGTAAGATTTTGGTTTCTATTGATTACTAGAGTGACTATAAAATGAAATGGGGTTTAAAGTCGTACTGTTCTGCTCCGACGTTGGGTTTAACGTCAATGTATCCTAACTCGGAACGTTGGTCACTAGCCAATTGAGTAGTCGAATTTATCACTGTTTGTTTAATTAATATGACAATGCGTATTTCTGTTTTAGATACAACGGCTGTCACGATTAAAATTAAGGAGTTGAATTTTACCATTGGGGATGACTATTGTTCTCCAGGTTCCTGTTCCAGTCATAATTATACTTATTTAGCAAGTCTCAGTCCATACTTTGGCTACGGTACTGTTACACTACAATTCACGTGAGTAAAATTCTGATCTGTATCTATATGAGGTTGTGGCATTGGGTGAGCTAGAGTACATGCATTCATCACTGTACACATATTTATTGAAGGAACCGATTCGACCCCGTACAGAACAACCCTGTGGTTTCCAAAAGCTTCACTGGTTTCCAGCGAGTTTTATAAGTTGTGGTCATGTACCGATGAAAAATAGCGCCCAGTGGCTAAATCAAAAATTCGCCACGAGTCAAGGAGTTTCACACAACTCCTTTTTCAAACGGCCGCGAAATAGGACTGTACTGTTTAGAAGAGAAGAGTGAATACGAGCGGCGCTTATACCCAACGGGGAGCTCTTCAAGTCTAGCATTATATCCTGCCTGGCGCCTCCTAGAAAAGCTACAAAGCAACTCTATTAGATATCATATTAGATATTTGTTTTGTATTATTCCAACACATTTATTTTTGATGTGTTTACAGATTGACGTCCCAGGCTCAAGTTATGATGTGTACTAACTATACTAAAGGGGCGTGTCCCACTACTCAAGAACAAATATCTTCACCATCTCAACAATCACAATTTGTAAGTTTTAAAAGAACATTTCATGATCACAATTTCTAAGTTTGAAAGTGATATTTTAATAATTACATTCTATAAGTATATGTAAGAACATTTGCAGTGAGTAAGTTCTCGCAGTTTTTAAGTTTTATATGAAAGCTTTCACAAATTATACGATTAATAATAATATCTCTGCACTCATAATTTGTAAGATTAATAACCAAATTTTAGCAATCGCAATTTATAACATTTATAACCACATTTTAGCAATCGCAATCTATAACATTAATAGCGACATTTCGATAACATATTATTACATTTATAACCACGTTTTGAACAATCTATAAGATGAATAGCAACATTTCGATACCATATTATTTATAACCACGTTTTGGCAATCACAATCTATAACATTAATAGCAACATTTCCATAACATATTAAATTTATAACCACGTTTTGGCAATCTCAATCTCTAAGATTAATAGCAACATTTCCATAACATATTATTATTTTGTTTTGTTTTCATTTGCAGGGACAAACCTTAGAATGGCCGGTTTCTATTGGACAGAATTTCATAACAAGATTCAAATTCAGAATTTCTCAGGACGTAAGTATTTACAGTTACGTGGTTCTCCCTTGTCAGTGATGCAGGACGGAGGGGCTGACAAGGAAAGCTGTCTAGTCGTTCGTATGGGACGAAAAACCTAGGTCCCGTGTACACATTGGCGTGCACGTAAAAGATCCCTTGGCAGTTGGAATTCGATATAAGAGTAGGCCGTAGTGCCGCTGTCCGGGCAAAATTTCCCTCATAGCACACTGTATGGCGTATGCCCGTCTTCATTAGCCCAGGTTAGGAGCAGAACAGTAGGACGTTAAACTCCATTTCATTTCTGGTTGGGTTGATAAAGAAGAACAAAATGTTACAAGTACGGAGAAGGGGGCTAAAAGAACTACTGCTGGATTGCCGATATGTGATACTATTAGAGTAGCTGCGGGAACACGGATTCATTTCAATTGTTGAAGAAATGAAATGAAATGAGGTTATACATCCTATTGTTCTGCTCCGATTTGGCTTCCTTAGTGTACTATGAGGGAAAATTTGCCCTGCAATGGCGCAACAGACTTCTTGTATATCGAATTTCGTCCGCCAAGAGGTCTTTTAATGGAGAAGGGTGAATGGGTGGGGCTGATCAATTTTGACATTTGGCCCAAAAATCATCAGAAAGATTTATATTTTGACACCGGTTTCGTAGATGTACCCGAGATGTGTTACAAAACCAACTTTCGCGGTAATGTGAACAGCACCCCCTGGCGGTGTCCCCAAAAGCATTACTTTTTTATGCTTTTCTCGGCAAAAATTACTTTTTAATATGCCTTATATTGCGTATATTGTAATCTAAAATTAATCCTTTTCGTATAAACATTAAACCTTTTCGTATATTTTTGTACTTTTAGAACAATCATCAACTTTGTGTATTACCGAATACAGATGCTAGTGCCTCCACCTATGTAGAATATAATATCCACTTCACAAGAACCTGTAGCCGACCAGAAGAAGAGAAATAAACGTTCATATTTAGCAGTTGGTAGCAACCATATTATTTAACTGCTAGATTTATTGTGTTTTAATCAAGGAGGAAGTCTTAGAGTCCGACTTATATACTGATTAAAGGTTAGACATAGGATATAGTGAAGAAACGTTGATATTCTTCCGTACACCTGTGTATGGATGGCGTCGTTATTATTTCGTTTATTGATACATCGTTTACTGTATTTCAAAAACATATACTCGAATGACTCTGTTATTTACCATGTTATGAAGGTATTTTAGTGGTATTTATGTACGCAGCGAGATATGTCTCTACCTTCAGTGTCGTATTAAACTAAGATGCACTGTAGAGCTAAGAATTAATATTGTTACTTATTGGTATATTTTTGATGTTATGTTTAATATCATTTGTAATTGAAATACGTGGACAGTGCGCTTTTTAGTGTCAAATTGTAAACTGGAAATTCATTTTAATAACCAACAACATTCCCCGTGACTTTAATGAGCTTTTGTTTTCATATTTTGTATATATACATGAAACGATGATAAAATATAACATCCTATACAAATTTTTAACATTTTAAAGGCTGTATATTTTCGTATAAAAATAATTTTTGCTAAAGCAAACTTTATCTAATGAAATATTTTTATTAATTATATTATGTATATATTTTGTAAATATAACTATACATAGAGTCTACTGATGTGGATAAAATGAACAAAATGATTAGGTCTTATTCCTGATGAGTTCAGCTTTAAATCTATATGCATATTCCTTTAAAAAGTATAAAGATTTTTACATACTTTTACTAGTATCTGAAAATGAGTTTAAAACTGTTTAAATTCAGACAATCTATAATGTTTATTAATTTTAACACTTAATAATTAATTTCTTAAATTTCTCCCTTAAATGTTTTACAAATTAGCTCGAAACTTAAATGCAACCCTGGTGAATTAGCCACGCCGAAATTTTAAAGTTAAAATATTTACTTTTATTTGTATTTATTTATAATTATTAGTATTGAAAACTAATTATACCGTATTAATTACCTCTTAATTAAGAATCTCAATCTTCAAATAGCAGACTGTAAAAATCGCGAAACATGAAATTATTATGATTGTTATCAAGTTTATTTTACTTTAATGCGAATGCAATATTGACTTATTGTTCAATAATAGAAGATAAATATTTTGTTAAATGTACAGGAAGGCTGCTTAAAATATCAAACAAATTTGAAATCTAACATTTCTTAATATAGAATGGTGGGGGAGATGAAATTTAATAATCAATATTATATCTCGAAGATTTGCCCCACGCCTATGTCACTTAACAAGACAATAGTGTGGAACTAATTTTAGGCTTGACACATGTACTCGGCGCTGCTATATGGGGTGTAATGTGGGCCCTGAAATTTCACATATTGAAATAAGATCTCATCCATGGGTTTATGAAACAAAGTTAGAACACATTCCTTGTTAATTTAAATGGCCGAAAACGATCCAAATATTATTTGTATATATCCTGTACATATATTTTCAATTTAACTCATTAAATATATATAAGAAAGTATTTTATCATATTTTTTGAAATTATTGTATTATGTTTTACACCGTGTAATGCTTTATTGTATGTAGTGCTTCAATGAAACATAAATAATATATGTACATTCCTTATATATCCAGTATCTCAATAACCGACCGAGTCTGTGGCCGGTTTTGTTGGGTTTTCTTTTTTATTACAATATTTAACGTTTATTTCAACACCCTTATTCAAAAGATTAGCAGTTCACCTAATTATGGATATTAAAAGTGGTAATATATCTTCTAGGAGACGCCATTAAAATGAGTTGACAATTCGCTTATAAGAAGGGTGCTCCGTTTAATTATCCGAGGTTCACGCAAGTTGGTTCTAAAACACGACGGGAAGTAACCGATAAAGGTCACCACAAAACAATAGAAATTCAGTTAAAAGTTGAAACTTGGTTCATTTACCGATACACAGTTTGCTGTCTATCTGTTTCCCTTATTGTTTCATTATATCAACCAAAGATTTATTGTCGTTGTCGTACTTTGTGTCAAATCGAATGCTCTTTTTATTGAGATTTTCTTGTGATTTAAAAAAAAAAGAAAATGTTCTGGATTAAGCAAAATGTATTTTTGTTTTCTAATGTTTTATTTATAGAGCCTGTTTGAGATTTATTAACTGAACAAATTCATCATCTACACGAGATTTGATGCATCTTTGCTTTTGTTTAGATATTCTACACCATTCTGGAAATTTGTTTTGACGTTTGTTATCTTGTTTTGTTAGTAGTATAGAATTGTCACGTAACAGGTTTTGTTTTCGTCTCAAAGAATATCATAATATAGCTCAGAGGTTAACATATTATTTAAAGATCGAATAGAAATTAAATCGTTATTTGTCTTGATAAATTATCAGCCCAAGCAGCTCAGAAATTAATGCATCCAAAATATCAATATATCGATAAAAAAGGAGCGGATGAACCCTAATTGTAATGTCTATAAAGATAGCGCTATACATACTACACATATTAGAAATAACATTATTTATGATGACAAAATGAAATATATCCTTTTTATTATATTTGAATTTGTGTACATATCCTGCAACATTCCAGAACTCATCTTAAAATATTTGTTGAGACCTTCATTTTAATAAAAATCGAGATTATAAGAAATTTGTGTTTAATTTGTTTGCAGGGATTTTATCGATTTTGTTTGGCATTTTGCATTGTCTTATTACAGTAGAAATGCCATTTTTACTGGGATTTTCGGACAAAAGTTCGCGTTAGCATGCATACGCAATGACACAATGTGAAAACCATTGTATTTGCTCCGCCTACAGGTTATAGCTCAATATTTTGAATCATTTTTGTTTCTTTCGCCAAGAGTTTATAAGGTTTGCGAAATGCTTTAAGAGAACATGCCTCCGACTACATTTGGAATGGAATGGGGTTTAACGTCCTACTATTATTCTCCGACTGGGCTAATGAGGACGGGCATACGCCATACAGAGTACTATGAGTGACATTTTCCCGGGCAGCGGAGCAATGACCTACTCTTATATCGAATTCCAACTTACGTGCACGCAAATGTGTACATGGAGCCTTTTTTTTGTCCCACCCGTAAGACTATACATTTTCCCTTGCCAGACCCTCTGTTCTACACCCGACTACATGTATAGGCGACACTTTGTTTGTGAAGCTAGAAGTACAGGACTTGTAAAAACATTCTAAACAAGAGCCCAGGTCCCCAAACGCTCGATAATTTACCTCGAGGTGTGGACAGTTTCATAAACATCACTTGAACAGTACTTGGGATTGATTGTGCTATATTTGTGCCTACCGACAATTAGGTCAATTATTTGTCAACGGAAGCAAACACATTATTCAAAGAAAATATACTAATAATGACAGGCACGGATAATATAATCGATTGAAATGCGTACATTATTCTACAAAGTTATTCTGAACGGTGTCCAAGATATGCATAGAGTTTAGCTCTCGAGCATGCCAGAAAAAAAAATGTATATTAAAAACTAAGTGTGTTGTTCTCAAGTGCTTCACACCAGGATTGTCTGAGCAAAAAAAAATAACAACAGGCCCGGTTTCATAAAACATTCTCAGACGTAAGAATTTACTCAAAATTGTTCACCTTATGTTAACTAAAATATATCCCTTTATCACACTTTTGTTGTTTTAATGTATCTAATATACCAATAAAAGACTATGTGCAAATGCCTGTGTTTCTGGATCAAAAATATTTCTCATAAGGAGTGATTGGAAGTTTTTTAAGTCTGAGAATGCTTTGTGGAACCGGTGCCAGATGTGGGAACAGAGTATTCTAGGAATATCTAGAGTTGTTCATAAGAAACGTTTATGATCGTTTATGACCATTTCAATTTACCTTCCCTTAAGTTCGTTCGCACAGGAAAAATTTTAAAAAAAGGAGGCAAATGGATATAATGATTCTAAGGCTCATTGCCAGTTCAAAATGCATTGCGAAAACAAAGTCGTAACTATAAGGGTTTTTACAAAAGTAGTATGTGCGGTAGGTGGGAACCCCTTCACAATGTAATGATATTACAAAATGTCAGACGAAGGCTCAGTCCTGACGGTGGTGCGTCCAACTATCTCACCCAAAAATGTTATAGTTCACGAGTACAACAAGAATGCATTATGTGCATGCATCTGTAAATGGGAAATGACACCAGATGTTCCATATAAAGAGTATGGACACTTGTCATTATTTACAGTTAGCTAATCATCCTATTAATGTGCCAAGGAATCTATGGAGGGTGAAGGCGAATTACCCGGGGAATAACAGGTCTGTCGATCTACATATTAAAACCATTTCCACAGCCGGTTCTCAAATCAAATATACGATATTATGATTGTTTTATAATCTTTATTGCGTGTAATATAATAACAACAATCATCATTCGATAAATTTATAACACATGTTTCAGTCCTTCACGTTTAAGGGGAGCTTTCGCTCCTGCTTCTGTCGACGCACAGGCTTTCCTTCGAAGGAGTCATTAAAGACTCCTGCAAATTAGCTAAATCGCTCTCCTAAATATTGAGATTAATAAACTACTTTCAGTTTTTGTTTACTTTTAAACTGCATGTATTCAAGGTATCGGGAGCTTTTTATGGCTCCCGCACAAATTTATAAACATGAAGGACTGATTTTTTTTTATATATTTTATGAAACACTGACAGCCAGAGTGTGAACCGTAGGTAAAAATAAGACAATTTAATACAATTAACTAATGTCAGCAGTTGTATACAATACAATCATAGTAGTTGTATACAATACAGTCATTCTGAATATGTGTTCAAATGGTTAAGTATCTTTAAAGGTAGTTTCAGTTTTAACCAGAATAAAATGCTCTTTGATATCATTTACGTCAAAATCATACAAATTACAAATCTTTCATGTTTACTGTTTTAGAATACTTTTTGTCTGACAAGTCACCAGCAAGTCTTTGATATTGTTCAGTTCCAGGAATCTTGCAGTTAAACCACCACAGAAGTGAGAACCGAGGATGGTTCCAGTGTCCTTTTTTACCATCTGGCACCAAGCGGTGATAATAATCACCCTCGAAGAAATAATACGCTCCATTTGTCCATTTAAAAGCAGCGTCGAGTTTTTTAAGATGACTCAGAGTAGGATGAGAAGCAAATGGGATGGGCTTACTAACCCTGGGATTACCAAACGTCCTGAATTTGATCGGCCATAATTTACCACCTGAAACAAAAGAAAGTATACGATATGTTAGATTCAACAACACGAAATGCCGGATTAAGGCGTGGGCTTTAGGGAATGTTCTTCGTGACAACAAAAAAACAGAAATGGTGAATAGGAAATATGAAAACAGTTTTGACAAATATGAAATGATTAAATTATGTTATAACATGAAAAATCTACTTCTTACGGATAACCCATGATAACCATGGAGAATTACCGAAAGTGCACTGGTTTATTTTTATTCGGGTTCTTTAGTGGGAGATCAGGTTATATATCTTTATTATAGGCGGACAGGTTCTAAAATGATGTGAAATAAAATAAAACCAAGTACGAACAATCCAAACCATTAGACAATATTCGAAATATATAGCATGCTATGCTAATTATATATAAAATGAAAGACTGTGCGGTCCTTTAGCGGCATATCGGGTCATGCGATCATTGGAACAAGGGTAGGTTCTCAAAAAATGGTAAAATGATAACAAAAATAAATATATAATAATATATGTTAAGAAATACATTGTAAATAACAATAAAAATATCTATGTAGTCATCCATCATCTCCTAGTTGCAACTTTAACAAATAACAAATAAAATTTAAAGCTCAAAAGTTTGTCCATGGATTTTAGTCTTTTGGAAAATCATGTTGGTTGTAGTAAACATATTAATGCAATTCAGTAAACAATGAAACAAATAATGATCTGTATACTGTATAATATTACTTTTAACTCGATTCTCATTATATTTTTGTCATGGATTAGCAGATACAGCACTGACTTTGGACCTTTTCCTCCGGTTATAGAACACCTATACCATACCACAGAGGATTCATTTCTGGCCATCATGCTTAATTTGCGAAAATTATCTTACTTCGCATTACCATGCGGGTAACCACGGCATAAAAGGATGATTATAATAATGCCGAAATGCAAGCCTACATATTGAAATGTTCTGTGTCTCAACTTTACACAAATATGAATCTTGAGTCATTTGTCTCGAAACGTTAAGAAGTAAATACAAATAAACATACCTTCAGCGAAAAACGTCCATTTCGAACTCTTTAACTTGAAAGCGGCATCTATTTTTTTCAGATGAATTCCAAATTTTGATTTGATTAACTTTGGATATCCTCTTCTTAAACTGTATCCGTAATGGCCTCGAAATTTGAGGTACTGGTACTTCCATACTTTTTCACCCTGTTATATGATAAACAGAATCGAATCTAAAAACTAAAATAAATACCCGCTCTTTGGGATAGAGTATGATCCCAGCGTCTTTATTAAGATTGGGGGAGGGGGGGGGGCGAATGGTTAGCACGTGTGCGCTGTATCATAAGGTTAGTCATTGGGTCAACTGGCGTGGTTTCGATTCCCAGGTTGTACGTGGCAAAGAGTAGGGTCGCCTATCCAACCTCGTGGGTGTTCTCCGGGTCCGCATGTTTCCTCCCACTGCTAAGCGAATTATTGAAATAAAATTAAGACATGTTAGTCCCGAAATGAGCTAGTTTGTGTCGAGTGGACGTTCAACACCATTTCTCTCTATCTCTCTTATTAAGATTTTTAAAACCATGAAGTTACACGAATATGATTGCTGTGGATGTAAACTAGAAACTATCATTACACTGACAAGATCAAATATAATCGGTATTCCTCGACTCAAAATATTAGAACATGTAATCGGACTTATTGTGGTTGGAGGGTATGGATGTTCAACTCTAATGACTGACAAACTGAAACATATTAAATACCCTACCTGGAAGAGATATATCCTGGCTGGCTTTAAGAAAGATCTAGCAATTGTTACAGCGGCATCCACGTAGGACGGACCGTTACGAAATATTTTGCTGATTAAAAAAGGTGAACCCTTGACCACACCATTATCATGAAATATATAAATCTTATTGCCTGAAAATAGAACAGTTTGTAATTTATTTAAATTCATCTTCTTATACATATATACATGTACCATTTTTTAGATCCGAAATGGCCCAGGTTTACCCTGGTGTTCCCTGTACGTACTATATCGGTAGCATATATACATATCCTAACGCCTACCAATATTTTTCTTTTTTTTTATGTCGCTGTAAAGGATTATACTTGCAATACCGATTAACATATACCATTTTTTAGCCCCGCAATGACCCAGGTTTACCCTGGTGTTTCCTGTACGTAGTAAATCGGTAGCATATATACATATTCTAACGCCTATGTCGCTGTAAAGGCTTATACTTGCAATACCGATTAATTTGCTCTTAACGAGTTGTCCAAAATCTAATTTATTTTCATGAAGTACGCAATCTCGCTTTTTGTTTTCCGAAAAGTAATTAAAACTAGGCTTAGGCCATTTTCCCTAAGTCAAATAAAGTTTGTGCGAAGCCGAGCTCACCTTTAAAGCCGTATGTTTTTCCATCAGGAGCGACATCAATGGCATCTAATTTACCATCCTTTGGACATTCTGGTCTCTGTGTTGTGGCTGGTGTGGATCGAGCTGCACCAGTAGTCATCGTTGGACTTGATGTAGTTGGTGTAGCCTCGGTTACATTCATCATGATGAAAGTAGCGTTGGTAATTTTAGAGGTGGTCATCTACAATGAAAATGTATACACTACAAATATGTATATTTTACAATTAGTGTGTTAAATGTCGATATAATAAAGGTCAAACCCAGTGTGCGGCTAAGAGGGGGTGTCCAACAGAAGAAGTGATATTACGAGCAGAATCACCAACTATAGGGTCTACGGCATAAATAACAAATATACATGACACATGACGCCATATTTGTTCCTACACTACGTCACTGCGATATTCTGACTTCAATATGGTCAGAATGGTCGTATACGTAGTAGTTTAAAAAAGTGTAAAGGAGGAAAGCGAAAGTACGATATATAATCTCTGAAATGGCTATAATAACGTTTGTAACGTCCTTTATAAAAATATTTCCATATGTATTATACTTTAATATCGGCGAATTGTGAACAAGGCAATATAAATATTGGGCAATGACAACTTAATTCTTACCGATGCCTCGGTGGTCTCGACAGTAGTCGTGGTCGTACCCGCTTCAGTGGTACAGGTGTTGATAACAGTTGTTGTACAAACCGGTTCCTGTGACGTGAAGGGTGTAGTGAAAGTAGGTTCTGTCTCTGGAGTCAATGTAATTCCATTGGTTCTAAGGGTCGTCTCTGTGGTTGCACTCATGTTAAAATCGGGAGAAGGCGTCATACCGGTTTTATTATTCATTCCTGGCAATAGAAAGAGTTACGGTTAATCATCTAACAAAACGGGAGCAGAGGTGATTAACGATATAATCCTTCAAAATAAATACAGAGAGTAACACCTTACTCGTACATCCCCATCCGTTACTGATTGTAGCTATACATCTATACAGGATGATACTATGGATTTCGAAAGATGGGTCTATTCAAATCAAACTACTTTTGATCACTACCGGAAAGTCACAATAATTCGTCATCTCTAAACCCAAAGAGTATATTTTTTCAAGATATCCTAAAACAATATATGGATATTTCAAAGATAAAAATGGGAGTAGCATCTAAAGTCACTAGAGGGAATTGAGTTCAGTATTTACAAACATACGAGGTATACATGTATAATATTCCCTATACAATTTGACAGGTCTCTTTTTAATCCTTTACAATCCAATCCGGGAGAGATTAGCTACCGTTAATATCTTTGTTGCATTTTAACAGGAAAGGTTTTCTATTGTTGGCAAAATGCAGATGAATTTAATTTGCAAATTGTTAAACCTAATCTTTCGTTTATACAGGTCTCAACAAAAGATATATAGATATAGGATAAGAATGGAATCCCTTACAAAAAAAAAATAATTACCATAAATGCCTTGTATTATAACCATATCATAATCCGACAATTTAGGTGTTCCACAATCTTCCGACCAAGGATACATAATAGAATCTTTTCTGTTGGTGTGTTTTAGACCCAGTGTATGGCCAAATTCGTGAACAGCAGAACACAACAAACGTCTTCCTGATTAAAAAGATAAACATCTTATCTAAATACTCAACATACATGTAACTTTACGCATGTCAATAATGTACTTTATTTAAAATATCATACATTTAACATAGTTAACAGAGACGTATCTATAATTAACACATACGTATTTATAGTTAACGTGTTAAATTAACTTATTTAAAATAGATACCAGACATGTATTATAGTTAAAATACGTGTCTATAGTTAAAGTAGCTAAGTCTCTAACTCTATATCATCAAAAATCTTCAACATTAAAAACACGAATTATTTGTCAATTTAAATCAACATTGGTCTTGTGATCTTACAGGGAAAAGATGGGCTTCTGATATCCAATATTCAAGACAAAATAAACATTTTACCATTGGTACACGAATCGTTTATGCGCCATTTGGAATAAGGGACCCCAAGAACGAGGCTAGACATATTCCACAAGTCATGTCAAATGGTGACGCTATATTCTTATCTGGAGAGCATGCGCAATAAATACCATCGGTGTAGACTGGAATAACCAGACGCTAAAGATTGTCATTTAATAGAGACTTTGGCGCATTTCGCCGAACATAACTGATTAGAAATTAAAGTAAAAACAGAAACCATTGAATGTAAATCAGTTTATATACATTATTATATGCGTTGCGACCCATTTGTGTCAATTTCTAGGTCCCAAATATTAGCTATTTAGCTCCTTTAACAAATGCAATCGAAAGTTAGCATTTACATATCTATAGTTAACAGAGGCGCACCTTAAGTCTTATTTACGATCTGTATCGTTAAATAATTAGTTATACAAATTCTGAATTTTCATTCCGGCACCTAACCTTTCTATATAAAATAATTGCAAATTACTTGCCTGTCGGCTCTTTTCCATACGTCCATTGTTCAGCATCATCGAAATGTGTATCCCCAGAGAGGGGTATTTCTGGTCCACCAGGATAGAAAGCGTGAGCTACAACACCACCTGGTCCATCAAAGGGATCGCTATCACCATGAACACCTCTAGCAAATGATATATCCATATCAGCGTCGCTCACAGACGGCCCAACTTGAGTGAAGGTCAAAGGTATAACATCAGACCAGATCTATTTTTTAAAAAAATGTGTCTTTAGATTTTAGGTTTTTGTGTTTAGGTCACTCTGCACTCACATCTCAAAGAAATACAAGTGTTAAAAGAAACTGTAAAAAGATTTACATTATGCTCCTAAATAGCTATTAATAGCTTATAGACCGTTCATTAGATATTTTCGTACTTTTAAATACCCACCTTCCACGCTTCTCTGATAATAAGGTCAACTTCTGTAGCCGACAGATCATCACAATATGAAGTAATACGATATGTTAAGTCAGTTTTCCTCCATCTTTGTTCGGCTACTACAAATAGGGATGAAAATATAATGATCGAAACAAATCGGTACACAGGAACTGCAGCAAGATCCATAAATTGAACATAAACATGTTGTCTGTGGATTGATCAATATATCAAAATTACTTGACCACACACAATCAAAATTAACACTATCCTTTCGATACAATTAAGCCAGATGAGGGTACTTATGGATCAGATGTGCTTAATTAATCAAGTACATGTAGCTAATATGTAACCTGGGGCAAGAGTACTAGCCATGTCCCGCACATACACGAAACACCAACCCACTCCCTTGCAAGCAAAGTTAAGCAACCGAGTAGAAAAAAGATGTGACTCATGCACTAGTGAGGTCTCCTACACGAAGACGTTTTTGTTTACTTTTTCTAGAACACCTAATATCGTTTCTAATTTATTTATGAAGTGCAGAAAGTAATTGCATGTTTCACTATTCAAATAGTTATACTAGAAACAGAAATGTATTACCGATATTACCTGGGGATTGTCGTTTGCCACGTCTCCTTTTTGAAACGATGGTGACTTGGACGTCATCTAGAATATCAGGAACGCCGCATCTAGATTTCCCCATGAAATCTAGCGTTTCTTTATCTAGTTTACCTAAAAATCAAATATAACCAGGTACATTATATTACATAGATGTGCACTATTACTGTGTGTAGTAACCAATATTTTGACATGAAATCTGGGTATTTATTAATATTTCTCCAAACTAGAATGGAATATAACGGAACGTGATATTATGATAGAGCGATAATTTTGTCCGAACAAAGGTTTTCGTATCTTGGAACTCTTAAACATTATGCCCATCCCACACAAACACATACCACCACCCTCTCTGCAAAAGAACAAATAACACGACAAATGAAGCCTGGCTTCTGAATATTTAAAAAGTTAAATGAACGTTTACCAACCTGTTATTTTCAGATCGTTATATTCTTGAAAGATAATAATAGCCTCCAGAACAGCATTTCTATATGACGATTGAACAGGGTTGAAATAACAACTGTCTTTGAGGTAGCCATATCTTCGTAAAATATCCTAAAAAAAACAACATAAAATATGCAATCACGTAAGATCCGAATCATCGAGGTTAAAATGGTGAATCGAATAACAACACCATTAGGTGCAAAAGAAATTAACGTCTGGATAAGAATGTTCTTACCGTTGCTGCTATAGCATTTCTTGGTCGATGTATATTACCAATGCAGCTGGAACAATCGTGGTCTGGATGTGATTCCACTAGGAACGTACATGTAGACGCCAAGCATATTGCAATAAAAATGATAGTATGACCTATCATGATTATAGACGATGATAAAATGTAGAATCATCAAACCCTCAACATTATTTATATTAAGTAGATATAATTCTAGTATTGTCTTAATTCACCCATTTATTAGCCACGCATTATTTAAAGAGAAACTCAACATTTGAATTATGTTTTCACAGTCGGTGGGGGTTACTGCCCTGTCTTAATTCAACGCTGCTTTACATATTTAAATTCGGGTTATAAATATTTGAGAGTTATTTCCCCATGCAGAAGGTTACTTAAATGAATCTACCCCAAAGGAGATGTGCATACGATCCAGCAACTTGGTGGTTTTCCAGTCTGGTATATCCTTGTCAGTGATGCAGGATGGAAGGCCTAGCAAAGCAAAGCGTTAGTCGTTCCTATGTTACAAGAAATGTTCATATACTGGACACCTTTTATCGGAATAAAATAAGTATGATGAGAGGATTCTTTTTTAGTCAACTCAACTCTGTTATTAAAATATTAACATTGGATGAGGGAAACATTACAGATTAAAACTGCTGTTTGATGTTTTAGTTTCATAGGAATTCCGCTTTAAAATTTGAAGTAGTTCTCTTAATCATATCGAAGTAAAGTGTCGGAAATCCCTTGCAAGGCCACTAATTGTAACACCGTGACGTCAGTAATGAAGACAAACATCCCAATAATAGATGATAATAAAGAAAGATGGGTGGAGTATTAAATATGACTATATGTGATTTTAAATGGGCATTATCATTTTTACCAAGAAAATAAATTTAATCTATCTTGAATAATACCGTATTCAAATAACCGTAGACTCCAAAAATATTTGTTATGGGCTATCTGTTCTTTATTTGCATCAATCTTTAAGAACTGGGCCAGAAAATAGTTTCTTTTCAAACGCATTTCCAATATGCATTCGTTTGTCCTTAAGCAATATGACTGCCTCTCTTCAAAGATTACTCGACAATTTTACTAAACAATGAACCGTTACAAATCATACAACCGCAAAATATTTCTAACAGTATCAATGAAACGTGGTAGGTGTTGACTAGATTCCAAATGCGATAACATTGTAAATTGAACGATTATTTTGCAATTTTGGAAACAATCAAGGGTTTGTTATTTATATAAGAATAGCTGCTTGGTTTTATTTTTTATTTTTTTATTTTTGGAGGGGGGGGGGTATTGTGTGCGTTGATTTTATTTGTTGTTTTGGGTTTTTTTGTGTTTGGGTGGGGTATATTGGAAAGATGGTTTTCCGGAAAAGGCATTGCCACTCGGATTTGTTTTCCTTTGTTGTTCTTACCGTTGTTCTTACTGAGGGTGATATCTCAGACAAGTTGTCTTATTTTCATTTCTATTATCTTAGAGCAAGAGCATGGGTCTTCTTTCCCGTAGGAGGAAACGTTGAGAAGGCGCCCCTATATATGTAATCGTAGACTTTTAATCACAAGTTTGATGCTAGACATTACAATTTATGACAGGTCCTTAAAATATCAAAGGCGTGTTCTATTTGTCATCAGGTAAGCTGATTATTATGACTGACCGCTTAAAGATATCGTATGAAGCGATTCTATATTTGATATATATATGCATTGCCAAACTAATTTCAATCACCATAGACTGACCGATCTTACTGTAATTTAACATTGATTGATCAGAGTCCAAGTACTATTCAAAAAAAGTAGGGGATATTTGATTTTGGGGGCATAATACTAAAATATGCAAATGACTACGAAAAAAGTCACTATAGAACCTAACAGAAGAAACATTTCCACTTACATGTGACGCCCAAACGCACCAATAGCTACCGCATGGAATGCAGGTGATGCTTGGGATCATCATGGGGGTCCAACCCAAGATTTGCACGACTCTGACTTTGAATGTTACAGTCATTGTGGCATTGAATTCCAGGGTGGAAACATCAGTTTAATTGTTTTAGTGACCAGAAAACAAATTTTGATATGCGTCGGCTTACCCAAAATGAAAGGTTACGTGCCCTTGGCATGCTACAGATCGGCACAACACAGGCGGTTGTGGCGCGGACGATGAATGTTTCTCAGTCTGTCATAAGCAGGCTATGGTCCAGATACCGTGATACACAATCTGTACAGGACAGACCACGCTCAGGTCGACCAAGGGCGACAACTCAAGCCCAGGATCGATTTATCCGTACCTTGGCCTTGAGAAATCGTGTCATCACAGCAAATCAGATCAGCGCTCGTCTTCAAACAGACACTGGTGTGAGAGTGAGTGGCCAGACGATTCGGAATCGACTGCATAGGGGTCACCTTCGCGCCCGACGTCCTCGCGTGATCCCTTGTTTGAGAGATCATCACATTCAGGCAAGACGTCGTTGGTGTAGGGATCGTCAACACTGGGATAATCGACGCTGGAGCAATGTGATGTTTTCAGATGAGTCAAGGTTCACTGTTGATTTTTTGGACAGACGTAGGAGGGTGTGGCGTCGTCGAAACGAGCGCTTCCAAGACGTTGACGTCATCAGACATGATCGATTTGGGGGTGGTTCTGTTATGGTGTGGGGAGGCATCACTGTTGCTGGAAGAACGGCTTTACATGTTGTTGCAGGGCGTGTTACAGGCCAGTACTACCGGGACAACATCTTGGCAGTCCATGTTGTGTCGTTCGCACGACGTCATGGCCGCCGTTTCATCTTCCAGGGTGACAACGCAAGATGTCACAGGGCCAGGATCGTTACAGGTTACCTCCAACAACAGAACATCACCACATTACCATGGCCAGCACTGAGTCCCGACCTCTCCCCCATCGAGCATGTCTGGGACATGCTTGGACAGAGGTTACGTCAACGTCAACAACGTCCTGCCAATGTCCAAGAACTTGCTGCTGCGTTGCAACAGGAATGGGACAATCTGGACCAAAATGACCTTAGACGTCTCATTAGGAGTATGCCACGTCGGATCAATGCTTGTTTGGCAAACAGAGGAGGATTTACCCGTTACTGACTTGGTTGTGATGCTGTGGTAACTTTGCTGTTTGACCCCGGGTATCATTTTACCCTTATAATGGTCAGTCTGTGCCTTACTTAGTCTAACGATCATTTGGAATAAATCGATGAATGTGAACTTCATTTCATTTTGTCATTTGTTTCTTCGTCAGTTTCATTAGGTGACTTTAATAACACTTAAAAATCAAATATCCCCTACTTTTTTTGAATAGTATATAAATTTTCCTTCAATATTCGAAAATATCTTAAACATACATTATGCAAGAGCTAAATCTGCGTATTGCGGGTATTTTATGCCTGAAATGTTATCTAGATTATTAATTAGACATTAATTAACTTATCCAGACCATAATCAACTCTCGATGTCATCGCTAGCCTGCAATGTTTACTGGATTTGGGTCTGATTTGCTGCTCAACTTTCATTCCAACAAGTTAATCCACGAAGATCCAACCTATCGCACTGTTTAGCTAGAAGAATTGTTGAATGTCTCGCAATGGTAAGATACGATTCAACCCTCTGGAACATCTGATACAAATGAAATGAAATAAAATGGGGTTTAACGTCCTACTTTTCTGCTCCGACTGGGTTAATGTAGACGGGCATACGCCATACAGTGTGATATGACAGAAATTTTGCCCGGACAGCAACACCATGGCCTACTCTTATATCGAATTCCAATTGCCAAGGGATCTTTTAAGTGTACACCAATGTATACACGATACCTCGGTTTTCGGTTCTATACGAACGGCTAGAAAGCTGTCCTACAAATTTTTCATAGCTAACAATTTAATCTTTGTGAAACCTCTGTATAATTAGAAAAATCCTCTATTCAATCAGGCCAATAATACCGTACTACTGTATATACAGCCGGGTTGCAATAAAGAATATCAATATCTGAATTACGGGCTATTGGAGAAAATGTCAACCAGTATAGTCAACTTACCTGATGACAAGTGGAACACAACTTTGAGATTGGTCAAATCCATTTTATAAACTAGACAAATTAGTAATATCTCAGGTTTAAGGAACCTATGACAGTTGTGTATTGCATAATATTTATACGAAAAATCAATTCTACTATAGATTATCCCAGCAAGTTGATTACCCTATAGTAAACTATTTTATTGTATATCATGTAGATTGATTATTGTTACTTTCCTATTTCTATTAGCTATTTATTACAGTTATGGAATACTTTTTAAAGATTGGTATATATAATGTGATATGTATTTATTTAAGAAATGATCACTTGTTAACAAATCATACATGATTATGTGGTGTATCAGTTGGACTACACGATGTAATAGTTCTCGGATACATTACAGCCTAAGGAAGCCAAGGGGGCTCAGTGAGTAAGGCACTGTTGTCGCTAACCTGGACGTCCAGGGTTCGATTCCCGTACTGGCCACGAAGGTCCCTCGGAATTTTCCGGTGCGGTTCCCCCCTGTCAGTAAACAGGACAGATGGACTGGCAAATGTATGGCGTATACCCGTTTTCTTCATTAGTTCATTAGCCAAGTACAAGCAGAAAGTATGGCCTTAAACTTATTTCGTTCATTCATGAAATCCTAGAAATCATTAAACGCGGGTATTTTATTTTTGTTTGACTTAGTGCGAAGAACAATGTTAACCCATGCACCTCAAACCCTACATGACGTTGTACTTTAATAATAGTTTATGTCAATATACAGGACTATTCGAGACATATCTGCTCATATTTCCATATTATTATCATGACACACCTCGATGTCGCAATATTATGTTGCAATCACGGTCTAGGAAATAACTGACACTTCAAGGTTACTAGCACCTTTCTTTCCATTTCAACAGTTTAGGACGTATCACAGGAGAGGTTGGGTTCTTGAAACTTAAATCTATTACTAATTTGTCTAGTTTATAAAATGGATTTGATCAATCTCAAAGTTGTGTTCTACTTGTCATCAGGTAAGCTGACCAGTATTAAAGTTCCTGCACTGGTTGTCTATAGAGGCTAGATTTCAGTTGTCTATAGAATTCAGTATAAATTGGTTGTCTATAAAATTCAGTATAAATTGGATGGCTATAGAAGCTATAATTCAGTATAAAATTGTGTCATTAGTCTACCAATGTCAAAATAATCTTGCTCCACTATATTTATCTGAACTTTTGGAGAAAAGTAAACTAAGTATTCCGTACGACCATACAATATGAAATTTCTCTTGATATACCTGGAATGACACTTGATCGCTTTTGTGATAGAACTTTCTGTGTCTTCGCTCCTCGGCTCAGGAATCGACTACCGCCTAGAATCTGAGAATTGGAAAGTTTCACTATTTTCAAATCACAGCTAGATTTATATATTCAAACTATCTTATTAATAGTAGTAACTCTGTTGCGCGTTGAGCATGCATTTATGAATGGAGTTTAGCGCATTATATAATATACATATTAGTGGTGGAATGGACCATATACCATAATTGATGGACTGGGCCACAGACCATCAGTGGTGGAATGGGCCAAAAGCCACCAGTGATGGAATGTGTCACAGACCACCAGGAGTAGACTGAAACTTATGTGGTGAAATTTAAGTCTGCTCCTACTCTCCTCTCCTTTTCTTTGTTCCTTTCAAACGTGGCATCTCGACGTGTGGTTGAATGCTGATCAAAAGTCGCCGAAGAATGCTTACAACCTGCGTTGGGGTATTTTATAATTAGTTCGTAAAGAAAATGCCGTCTGGAAAAAAAAACCTAACCCATGACCCAGCAAGAGTGTCCCACAATTTTTATGAGTGGCCTAGTCTGACCCATGACCCACCTACCGTGCTCCACGAGTCTCATGCATGATCTATTTATATAAAATTATTCCCGCAAGCTTTAGAACTGATACCAAATTTCATTGTTGTTTATGTTACTATTTAAGTTATGACATTCACCATGTTAATATGTCAACATGTCATGTATTTCAGTGTTATTCATTGTATTACCATGTGATGGTTGCTACACCAATTACAACAATTGTATGCAACTGTATTATGCTGCACACAATGACTCCAGTACTACATTGCTAGATTTATATTCAATCTGTTCGTAAGTATTTCTATTTTGGCGAATAGCTGTAGATGTTAACATCAGGGCTCATGGGCGGAGTTAACTGGTTGGCTAATTATCGGGCCATACTATATACCGGAAAACACCGGAAAACAACCGGAAACACCGGAAAACACCGGAAAACAACCGGAAAACACCATTTTATACTGAATACCGGAAAACACCGGAAAAACACTAAATACCGGAAAACATCCTAAATACCGGAAAACACCCTAAATAGGTAACCCGGAGCCCGGTCCTCTGTGTGCGGTTTTGGACCAAGTGAGCGCCAATGAAGGAAGGTCAAGGTCATTACGATGTTCGTTTTACAAATGGCTTCCCCCCCCCCCCCCTAAGAAAAAAAATTTCCGATTTTTTTTCTCCAAAATTTTGTTGATGCCTATTATGTTTTGAATGTTTTAAAAGACGCAATCAGTCTACTCCATCATTGACCATATTTTATTTTGTATTTTAGTTTTAGTTTTCAGTAAATTTCAGTGTTTCAGTACTTCAGTATATGTAGACCTTTCCTACATCCATGAGAAAACTACATATTCTATCTTACTGCATTGACGGAAGTGGTAAGAAGTGGTAAGCTGGGCGTCTGTGAAAAGGGTTGATCGATAAATTTTCAAGGAAGCAATTGTTGCTTTTGCTTGTGAAATAGAGGACTCTAGCCGATGAGGCTACTTTCCTCCCGAGAACCTCAGGCAACCAATTTGTTTTATGTACTACTATCGTAATAAAACATTACTATGTTAACCACTTCCTGGTGGCTGAAGACTTACACTGAATGCGTATTCGGAAAAAAATGTCCCCTAGAAAATGTTTTTTCCGACAATCGATATTCGAGATGTCTTCTGTTGCACAAATTATGCTGCACTGTGTAAGAACTTGCATCCTTTGATCTGAAGATTGTAGATGGAAAAATATCATTTGCACTATTTCAAAGTAAACCTGCATTGTCGTATATCATCCTGTAATTTGTGATTAATGACAATGACTGTGGAAATAATATGGTTTGAGGAACGGAAGATTTATGTTCGTCACGTGACTGGACAATTAATCCCCGTCCCACCCTGACGATGATCCCTTCCGGAGCGGCGCGGCGCGGCGGGCTCTGTAAAAAAATCGCGGGCACAGTTTACTCTTCTAAGTTTTCCGGTAGCTATTTAGTAACCCGGAGTTTGGTCCTCGTGTGTGGTTTTGGACCAGGTGAGCGCTGATGAAATAAGTTCATTAACATACAAGCGAGCGATCGCCTACGGTCAAAGAAAAATTTCTTTTCAGATTTTTTTAAACAATTTCTTCTCCCAAATTTCTCTCAAAAAATTTTTTTTTTCCAGTATTTTTCTCTGTAAAGTTATTTTCTATCGAATGTTTTTTTGTAAAACCAATTTTTCGGAAAAATTCGATTTTTTTTTTTGTGACAGAAAATTTTTTTCGTCAAAAAAATTTTGGAGAAAAAAAAATCGGAAATTTTTTTTGTGGGGTGGGAGGGGCTATTTGTAAAATGAACATCGTAATGAGCTTGACCTTCCTTCATCGGCGCTCACTTGGTCCAAAACCGCACACAGAGGACCAGGCTCCGGGTTACCTATTTAGGGTGTTTCCGGTATTTAGGGTGTTTTCCGGTATTTAGGGTGTTTTCCGGTATTTAGGGTTTTTCCGGTGTTTTCCGGTATTCAGTATAAAATGGTGTTTTCCGATTGTTTTCCGGTGTTTTCCGGTTGTTTTCCGGTGTTTTCCGGTATATAGTATTGCCGCTAATTATCTAGTTAAAAAAATTAACTATTTAAAATTTTTGTAACTAGTTAAATTAAAGTCAAAATTATAATAGGGAAATCTACCTTTGTGAGTTCAGTACAATTTTTTACTTATGGACTCATCATAAAATATGAAATGAAATGGGGTTTAACGTCATACCTTTCTGCTCCGACTAGGCTAATGAAGACAGGCATGCGCCATACAGTGTGCTATGAGCCAAATTTTGCCCGCACAGTGGTGCTACGGCCCTCTCTTATATCGAATTCCACGGCCCTCTCTTCTATCGAATTCCAACTGCCAAGTGATCTTTTAAGTGCACGCCAATGTGTACACGGGACCTCGGTTTTTCGCCCCATCCGAGCGACTAGACAGCCATCCTTGTTAGACCCTCCGTCCTGGACCACTAACAAGGGGAAACCACGCCATAAATTCCTGATGAACTTTCCCGGCCAACACCGGGATCGAACCCACGACTTCAAGGCTAGGAGCCAGCGTCTGACTCACTTAGCCACCGTGATTCCGGCTCCTATATAAACAGATGAATGGCTTTATATGGAAATAGTAAAGATGCTTAAAAATATTGGACAATCCTGTAATGTTGGATAAACATGAATATCTTTCACTTGTAGACGTATTTGCCATGTGTTTTTGTTCTATTGTAATTTTGACTTTTTTAAAATTAGTTACCTCGTTAATTTTTAACTAGTTAAGCCAAAATGTTGACTCCGCCCAGCCCTGGTTAAAATATATTGAATTGTGCGTAGGGCAGATCCCTTTCAAAAAAAGATTGGGGACGGGGGGGGGGGGGGGGGCTAACTAAAGAGATTCTTCCGTAAAGCCCTCTTTAATTGCGGTATTTATCAAAATTCAACATTTATAATAATTTCGGAATGTGCGATTGAAGAAAACCAATTAACTATTAAGAGATTTCTTACAAATAACAGCGTTCTTCATTTTATGTTTATTAAATTTGTGTACAATATAATTATTTTTGTAGGCTATTAAACACAACCAAGATTTGTCTGGAAAATGACGCAGCTGATTGTGTTGAGGGCACTGCTGAGCCTCTTTCATATGCGATGAATAAAGTTTCTGTGGATAATTTATATAATTTGACTTGCTTTGAACATGGTGAAATACTTTTTGTTTACTTATTTCTTTACTTCGATATTTATGGTAAATTGTACATGCGGAAATTTTTCCCTCCAAACAATGAAGTCACTTGACAAACAAGGCTGCATAGAATAGATATTTACCGCTTAGTGTAGTTTTTCTTCCGATTAAAATGTTTTTGATTTGAAGCAACTGTTTGATAAATTAATTAGTGTGGATATATTTTTAGTCCAAACATGGCATCAAATCACACAGTTTCTATGTGGGGAGGCATCTTTAACGGTGACACTCGATGTACAATACTTTGATAAGCACAAGACCAGTAGACATGATATTATAGTAATAAAATGAGTTTTTATGGTAAAATTAAAGGGCTTCTAAAGAAATAAAAACAAACATGAGATTTCTTAGTGACGTTTTCTTAGATTTTTATTCTCACGTTTATTAGAATTTTTTGCATAATTTCCAGGAGGAGGCGAGACTACCAGTGATAATTCGGCTTTACCAGGTAATTCGCTACATATCAAGGTATATCAAGGTATTTTATTTAACGATGAACACCATAGAGATCTGATTTTTTTTGAAGGCATAAAGGATAAGCAAATAAGAAACCTCATCTCACCTGGAAGCTCTAAATTCTTTAATAGTCTGTCGAACAAACCAAAATCACCGAATGATGCCCTGTTTTCACCAATGACATTTTATTGCCGATAGTTCGTCAGACAATATTCATCCATATATTTTATTTTTACATTTTAAGGTTGTGCACAGAAAGTAATAGAATGCGGTGAGCTTGCACCTGGAATCGGGACAATTATTAGACCTCAAGATATTACGGATCTGTCAGCTTTACAAGGTCTATCTTCCACTATATGTCCGTAAGTTATTTCAGAAATTGAATATTGGACAAAATATTGAATTTGAAATTGAATAACAGGTTTTAAGACTAGACATAAAATATACAATAAAATCGATCCTAAAGACCCGTAAAATAGTCATCAATACAAATTAGTGTAATACTACGCGGCTTTTACTAAAGGGGCGCGTAAATAATGAATAATCTCTTGTTCAAATTAGGTGTGACGAATTGGAGTCAGCGTTCCTCGCCCTTCCGTTCTGGAGTTACACGCTTTTCTGTAAACTTTGTGAACGCATTGGAGTCTACAGTTTTTACACATTTATTTATCAAATTTCTTGTGAAACTCCGAGGTCAGGAGAGAATGAACCATATCGATATGCAGCGTTGTGCTTTATCCCCCTTTGGTGGAAAGCCGACAGTCTTTAACTGACTGTGCAAGCATTAACCCTATTGATGTCAAAATTTGGTTTGAAGTACTGGGATCTGAGAGGATAAAACCTACGGATTATCAGCATTCTATGACTCTTTGTTGTGGTGCTATATTAATTGTCCGGAAAAGCATATTAACATAATAGTCCGGGTTATAATTGAGGGAGGTGCCACCTGGAGAGGTAGAAATTCTCATGTGGATTTTCTAGGCCAGTTTTTTTTTATTCTGAACAAGAATATATGAAGTAAACAGGCCGTATCCTGAACCTCTTTCAACGAGGGCGCTTTTCAAAATGGCCGCCAAAATCTCATATATATAGTGACTATATGGGTTAAGTAAGTACCAATGATGCATGTTTGACCACTTTTTGCATTAGTTTTTATTAGGGTTATTCCCAAACAAGCTGCGATTGTATACCAGACTCTTGAAAGTGATAAAAAGTGAGGGCGCTCTTCACATGGCCGCCAAAAAACGTAGATAAACTGTATTTATTTTTAATAAGCATTTATTAGGCCACGCTATGGCCACGTTTTGCATTAATTGTTATTAGACTTATTTACAAAGCATCTTCCGTATTATGTACCACACATTTTCTGAAGATATAAAACGATGAGGGCGCTCTTCAAAATGGCTGCTAGCATCCCACGAGAAATGGATATGGGCCTGTGTAGGTTAAGAAAAGATTATTGCGGCGCATTTGACCTCTTTTTGCATTAGTTTTACATAAAGTTATTTGAAAAGAATCTACATGTGTGACAAATAATGTATATGGGGTGAAAACTGGGGGCGCTCTTCAAAATGACCGCTAAAATCCATTCTAAATTAATAGTAATGTCCATTTATATAGCGGTAAATCCACAAATCTTGCTCATAGCGTATACAACAACCATACAAAAGTCTTTTGGCTCTACCTTTTGTGTGTCATTAAGCTTTAAATAAGCATTACAAAGCGTAATATGTTTATATGTCCAGATAGTAAGTTAAAATTTGGTAAGCTGTTTCTATATGATCACTGAAAATATGTTTGACATCTCATTCTTGAGGGAGCTTAAAGGGTAAGGGCTTATACTGAATTGTACTTACAAGGTATCCTGGTATGACAAATCACTCACAATGTTATATCATTAATTTTCAAAGTCGCACACTAGATCACTGCAGGTGGGAGGGAGGGGGTGGATATAATATAAAATACAACACTCAAAGGTCTAAGTAGACCTAGAGATCATGAGTAAGAATACAAAATGTATGTAAAAAGAGGATAACATTGAATCCATACATATTCTACTAAACAACGAGTTAAGATAAAATGTCGGATTTTCTTTCAAATAAGTTAAAAGCTAATTATAATTAAGCAAATGTACGCAATTTTCAAGCTGTAATGTTTTATCTTTCAGTGTCGTACCTAAACTTCAGATATGCTACAGTGAATTGGATGTAATGTGCCCAAATTATATGGCTGAAAATGTCACAAACTTCTTAGATGTTGTCAAAACACAGATTTGTGGGAATGATTCAGGTATAGTTTGAAGACCGTTTATTTAAACATACATCAAGATCGAAATCTTCCTATTGCGGATATTTCTTTAGGCCTCAAGTGTTATATAAACTATTAATTAGACATTTATTAACATGACAAGACCATAATCAACTCTCAATGCCATCTTATGGGTCCGATTTTCGCTGGATTTGAATCAGATCTGCTGTTCAATCACAAAAGTGGATAATTGAGACTTTGTTCATTATCGTATCATCGGGAACAATGACAATCGGGCCTACAATGTTTTTAAAATGAGGTTTTCTCGGCCCACCCTGAAGTAATTTGACTGAAATTTTCACCCTATCCCCCTTACATTATCTTTTTAAAACTATATATTATAGCGAGAACTGTCAGCTCTTTATCTAATATTCCATAATGTACCTTTAACGATTAACACAATAGATTTCACACCAAGTTATTTATAGGGTAGTTTTTCCAGTGAAAGTGTAGTAATAATAAATTTTACACACTGGACCCTTTGTTCTGACTCGGGTGTTCAACTTACTGATCAACCTGTAATGTGTTGTTTTAGCACGTGCACAGGCACAGGTGATCATTTGAGGAAAAGTAGGTGTTCATATAAAGGAACACCCCAACATACTAACCAGGTGATTGTCAAAACAGAAATGAAATGAAATGAAATAGGGTTTAACGTCCTACTGTTCTGCTCCTAACCTGGGCTAATGAAGACGGGCATACGCCATACAGTGTGCTATGAGGGAAATTTTGCCCGGACAGCGGCACTACGGCCTACTCTTATATCGAATTCCAACTGCCAAGGGATCTTTTACGTGCACGCCAATGTGTACACGGGACCTCGGTTTTTCGTCCCATCCGAACGACTAGACAGCTTTCCTTGTCAGCCCCTCCGTCCTGCATCACTGACAAGGGAGAACCACGCCGGAAAATCTGGATGAACTTTCTCGGCCTTGTCAAAACAGACCATGCATTTTCGTGCGTGCACTGTATTATAAATAACAAGAAACACCGTGTTAGTTACAAAATATAAATACATGCAGTTAAAACAATAAATAAATATTTTTTCAATGTAGATTGTGAAATAGTATCATTAGCTAGAAAACGCACCCAATAGTATAAGGAACATATACACAAAACCTAGCGAACTGGGATAAATTTCTGTTTGGCCATGTTTTAGATAATTTGTAATCTTGTAAAATACCTTTCCTACATCATCGCACATGCTATTTTTTTCGCACATGGTTATTTTGTTCTGTGGCTGACAAATCGTGAATGTAAAACGTATTCCAGTCAATGCAGCATACCCCATTCACACCAAATAATTATTATTTTATTCATTGGCCTGTTGTGGATTTTAAAGATAGGTTGCCAGAAAACGAAACATACACCTACAGCAGCTAAGTCGTCCGGGCAGTCAATAAGGGTGTCGCATATTTTTTCTTTTGTGGGGAAGGAGAGAGAAATGGGGTTTAACGTCCACTCGACACAAAAGAGGTAATTTCGGGACTAACATGGTTCAATTTTATTTCAATAATTCGTTTGGGCGTAGGGGTCTTTAGCAGTGGGACCCCGAGAAAACCCACGAGGTTGGACAGGCTACCCTACACCTTGTCACGTACTGCCGGGGAATCGAAACCACGCCAGTTGACTCAATGACAGACGTTAAGATACAACGCGCACGCGCTAACCATTCGGCCATCGACCCCCCCACCCCTTGTCGGTAAGGAAAACATTTATAACACATTAAAATATAAGTACGAATAACAACCCATTAAGTAATTGTCATACTTGTTTGGCTTCTAATTCTGCCCTATACTGACGTTGAGTACTCAAGACATTAAATATCAAGAACCATAAATCTGGAAGTCATTATCGGAAATCATTGAAAATCAATAGGATTCTTCGTCTCATGACCATAATTGTTCAGCCTCCAGGGCGTGGACACCGGACGGGAGCGACATAAATATACGACATGTCGACTATAAAAAGTGCCGAAAACCTGAAATCAGCAAATAGGCTTAAAATACATTTATCCATATTCCAATCCAAATTCCTTAAAGTTTTATTTAAAAAACCTGACATTGGAATGATCTGATTCGTATGCATCGTAAATAAACAGGTATACGCTGGCTATATTCAGGTTATGCCCCCCCCCCCCTCAATCTGCTGAATAAACGACAATACGTGACAGTCAAAATAATATATTGATACCTGTTATAGACGAATTGGTAAAATTATTTTGTGTGATAAAGGGCCTCTGATTTTCGTCTCTCTCGTATCCGTCCATTTTCATTCACTCATTCATCTTCTTACAAAAACAAAGAATCCAGTGTGTAAGTGAGTTATCGACCTTCGACCCTCGGGGTCAAGTTAGATGAACACCCGAACTCGCGCAATTGAACCTTGGACGAGCTCGGGTGTTCATCTAACTTGAACCCCTCTGTCTCAGTCGATAACCCTTACTGGTATTATATGGATAGTCGAGACACCCGATCTTACTACAAAAACAGCAAAACAACCGAATTCCCCTTAAGAGGCCCATGAGATGCGCACAGGGGAAAAATGAACTGACAGAGTGTCCGTTTGTCGTCTGCTTGAATGACGTAAGAGACGCTTGATGTCTTTGATCGAACGGAGGGCGGTTGAGAGAAAACCCAATCTTACTACACAAAATCCTACTGGATTCCCTTTAAAACACCCATGGGGTGCGCACAGGGCATAAATGTAATTGGCAGTGTCCGTTTGTTGTCTGTTTGAATGATGTAAGGAGCACTTGATGTCTTTGATGAATAGCTGGCGGTTGTGAGAAAAGTGGGAGACTTAAACATACTGCGGACTTTGCGATTAAACAGCGGAAGAAGAAACTGGCAGACAATAATCCAAGAATTTACTTTGACTTCGATATTTATGGTAAATTGTACATGCGGAAATTTTTCCCTCCAAACAATGAAGTCACTTGACAAACAAGGCTGCATAGAATAGATATTTACCGCTTAGTGTAGTTTTTCTTCCGATTAAAATGTTTTTGATTTGAAGCAACTGTTTGATAAATTAATTAGTGTGGATATATTTTTAGTCCAAACATGGCATCAAATCACACAGTTTCTATGTGGGGAGGCATCTTTAACGGTGACACTCGATGTACAATACTTTGATAAGCACAAGACCAGTAGACAGGATATTATAGTAATAAAATGAGTTTTTATGGTAAAATTAAAGGGCTTCTAAAGAAATAAAAACAAACATGAGATTTCTTAGTGACGTTTTCTTAGATTTTTATTCTCACGTTTATTAGAATTTTTTGCATAATTTCCAGGAGGAGGCGAGACTACCAGTGATAATTCGGCTTTACCAGGTAATTCGCTACACTAATAGTTCACCATGCAGAATTCTATTGTTATGTAATTTTCATATTGTATGTGTTGTCCCTATAATGTATAGTTGTATGTGGGGGAATTCTACACTCCAGTGAGAGAAATCAGTTACCGTGTGGTTGTCAGAGTGAGAGGATATAGCATTTTGTAGTAATAGTATTGTTGACAGTTAACTGGAATAAACTCTGAGATATCTGATTCATCTGAGTTTGTCATCAAAAATAGCATATAAGCAGTGCCTTTTTCCATCGATGACATTTTGATGTTGATAGCGTGTGGGATATCATCCATGATACTATGCCGATTTTCCAATCCCGATTTGTCGTCGCGTTTCTTTAATATTAACCTTTATACTCTTCATACTTCTGATAACGTAGGTTCAATACTCGTAAACAATTCCATGAATTAAAACATTTTTTCCTATTTTTCAGTGATATTTAGTTCAGTGTTGATATTTGTATCATTAGCTACTATCCTCCTATAAAATAGCCACGTATACAAACAGAAAAGAGTATATTAAAGGTACAGAATAACGTCACAAACACCAATCAATATTACACAATAGAGACAGTAGATAACACACAGTATATTACAAGTGCATAACGTCACAAACACCACATAAATATCACACAATAGAGACAGTAGATCACAAATAAAACAGTATATTAAAAGTAAAAGTCCAGAATAATGTCACAAGCCCCATCGGAAATACCACACAATAGAAACAGTAGACTTGTGGTCGACGTTCCTAGAGAAGATCATGTTCCTGAAGCAACGACCGTGAGTTTTACAACATCTAGACGTTGCTACATTGTTTTGCAATTTCCGAACTTATATCTACGTTATCTCCCTTTACTGCAGACACGTGAACAGTATTATTCAATCAGAGGTTGTGACACACACACACACTCAAATCAAACATGGCGAGCTCCTTGGAAAACCTTAACATTGAACGAACCTTGAACTTTGCAACTCGATTATCACAGGTAGACATTTTAGCTGGAAAGCTTGAGACTTGGTATTTGCGATGATCGAGGAATCTGATAGGCTCTCAAGCTGGGTCAGTACCCAATCGAAATCAGTGCCGCAATATGCAGGGTATTACGTGCAGGGCCTGATTAGATGTACGGTGTTAAAGCCTTTATATAATTGAAGATGAGAGAAGATATTACCATGAGATTATCACTGACCAAACTGTAACGATTATTGTAGAGTTGTAGTACCTTAGTTCTTTGACGTCTGCTTCCACCATAGCGATATTACAGACAAGATCTAGGAGAGCCGAATTGGATTGTCGCACGTGCCTCCATATTAAGACTCCAAACTACCGACGGAACCATCAGTGTAATACCAAGAATTTGATAAACATTTGGCAGAGGAAAAATAGAAACAAGACTTTTATTGGCTAACTTAAGCTGTCAATCAAATCACCACCTGTTTAAACAGGCGTAAATCCAAATAAATTAAAGGGGTCATTTTAGTGTTAAATATGGGTTAATTTAATGCCCCAATTAAAGAAAACGTCTCTAGAATACAGTTTTTATGTCAGATCTGGTATAAAATATTAGAATAGTTCGATAACAAAAAGTAGCACACTTTAAAACTATTGAGGAAAGGGGGATTTTTTATATCATATTTTCTAAAATACTGTCTCTTTGAAATCTAGGCAAAATTGGAATTGGCTTTTTATTTATGCCATAGTTAAATCTCATGCAATACAATTTCTAATATAGATCGTTTAATTCTGTGTTTACTTATCTAAAAGATCAAGACATGTAAATGTTAAATCAAACTTACTCATGCAATTAAAAATAGATTTTTATCTTTGGAAATACATGTAAATGAAAATTTAAATGAATGATAAGAATTTAAAAATCTTTATATTAGAGTTTCTGATCACAGAATCCTCGATAATTTCACTCAACTCCAGATGATTAAAATTATTTAAAAGATGAGATGTATTTACCATTATTTATTTCCTGGAGACGTTCTGTGGGCCCTGGTTCGGCTGAACCATTTGTACCATGGTATATCCGGTACTGAAAACAACTTTGTAATGCAACCACTACCTCGCTTTTTTTTCAAAAAATAAAATGAAATGGGGGTTTAACGTCCTTTTGGTCTGCTCCGACTGGGCTAATGAAGACGGGCATACGCCGTAAGGAAACTTTTGCCCGGGACCTCGGTCTTACGTCCCATCTGAACGACTAGACAGCTGCCCTTGTCAGACCCTCCTTCCTGCACCAGTCACACGGGAAAACCACTTCGCAACATCCCGATGAACTTTCTCGGCCATTGCAGGGATCGAACCACTTTCTTTTCCTTAGTTTGCTTAATGTTTAATCTTTGGTGGAAGATTAGTGAAAAACGGGAAATTTTAAAATAATATACCTATCTGTTGTGCGAAATAGAAAAATTTAATGCTTGTTGTGTGTACAAAAGTTAGTTTTATAAAGAGAGGTAGAGTAGGGGCCTGAAGTCCTTGCTTTCCTTAGAAGGATTTCCATTCCCTCTATGATGTATTTCTAAAGGACTTAAGACGAAAATGGAGAATATATTTTAAGCAAATGAAATGAAATGGGGTTTAACATGCTACTGCTCTGCTCCCACTGGGCTAATGAAGACGAGCATACACCATACAGTGCGCTATGAGGGGAAATTGTGCACGGGTAGCGGCGCTATGGCCTACTTATATCGAATTTCAACTGTCAAAGTGCACGCCAATGTATCCAATGTATACAAGGGTCAACGGGTTTTCGTGGGGTCTTCCCATATCGCCGACTCACCGAGTTTTGGAAAGTCGACCGCGGCACCCTTTGATGGGATTAAAACGGATTAAAAGCGTTAATGAGGCAGGGGCCAGTCATTATTAATATAGTTCACTGAAATTGATTTTTATCAGAAGTCGACTCACTCACATTAATAAAATGAATATAGTTCACTTAAATTACATGAACTTGAATTTTGTCAATTCAACTCCCACATTAATTAATAAAATAGGCTGCAGTTCAACATGAAGCTGACAGGTGATCGAAATTCAGTTCATTGTGATTATTTCTCAATAAGTATAAATACGTAAATCATTCCTACTGCACAGTTACAATCTAAGTTTATTCCTACAGCAAAAGGTAGCAGGTACCTTTGTGTTGGCGGTTTTAAGTATAGACTGAATAAGAGAACGAATAACGAATATTTTTTTGAACTGGTGGCATTTTTGCAAGAAGAGCAAAAGACGATTGAAATTCAGTTACTGCAGTATGCAAGCGGCCAGCGACAACCACCGAAAAAGAAAAAATACACCGATATCAACAGGAAGATTGAAGATTCCAAGCATAGATATGAACAAGGAAGACTGAATTTATTAGAATTTTCGGACTATGTTGGACACTTTATGCGTGCAAAATTTTTAAATTGTGTTATGTTATGTGTTAAAGATTGTTATAAATTAAACAAAATAAAAAATAAATGCTCCCAAAATTATCTGCTTAATGAGATTTATCCTTCAGCTTGGGTCTAATGTTCTTGGCCACTCATTCCCATAACGTCGACCAAAATTTTCCCCTAAAACTCGGTGAGTCGGCGATATGGGAATGAACCGTTTTCGTCCATTCGAAGGACCAGACAGCTTTCCTTTTTAGGCCCTCCGTTCTGCACCACTGACAAGGAGAAACCACGCCGGAAAATCCCAATGAACTTTCTCGGCCAATGCAGGAATCGAACACGCGACCTCTAGACTAGCGTGCCAGCGTCTTTTTTTTTTTGTCTTTTTTTTTCTTGTAGATATATTTATTCAAAAAGTATACAAATACAAAATCCATTTTCATTCTAGAAGAACTGTACTTGAATATACACAACTACGTACACCAGTATATAAATTTAATAAATTAATTCCAAAGTTAAAGTGTTTTAAAATAGTAATATAATAGGAATGAGTTACTCTATCAAATGCCTTAAACATACATTATGCAAGAGCTAAATCTGCCTATTGCCGGTCTTTATTTAGGTCTGAAATGTTATCTAAATTATTAATTAGACATTAATTAAGTTATCCAGATCATAATCAACTCTCGATGTAATTGCTAGCCTGCGATATTTATTGGATTATGATCCGATTTGCTGCTCAACTTTCATTCAAGATTTAATAATGAAATGGATAATCGAGACTTTAGTAATGATGATCGAGGCTAGGTCGAAATTTCAATCGCTGAATTCTCGGTTCGTAGTGGATCAATTCGACTGAAATTTTAACTAGTGTCTAGTTATTATAACTATTATAGTACGTGAGAACTGTCAGCTCTTTATCTAATCTCCCATAATTTATCTTTAAGGGCATCTAATTTTAATAAATAACATGGTATGTTTTCAAAGTCTACAAAATCTAAAACATCTCTGATTGAGAAAATATTAGCAGTCATGTGTTCCAGGTCGTGATAAGTGTACTAATAACTTACCGTTATAGTCTTAGAGCTAAAATTCGTGAATTTATCTTGTAATCAACATTCAACAAGTTAATAAATAAAATGAAATGGGATTTAACGTCCTACTGCTCTGCTCCAACTGGGCTAATGTGCTAATGGAGACGGGCATACGCCATACAGTGTTCTATGGGGGAACTTTTGCTCGAGCAGCGGCACTATTGCCTACTTTTATATCGAATTCCAACTGCCAATTGATCTTTTACGTGCATGCCAATGTTTACACGGAACCTCGGTTGTTCGTACCATACGAACGACTAGACAGCTTTCCTTGGCAGTCCCTCCGTTCTGCGCCACTGACAAGGAAAAACCACGTCGGAAAATCCCGAACACCCGATCTCCAAGCTAGCGACCCAGCGCCGTACCCACTTTCACCGTGGCTCCCAAACAACAGAATTCTTCAGAATTCGCTTGTCGCCTTTCAGTTTATCAAATAAAGAAATAACCCCATATTTCATTGTGCAAGATAAAGATTAAACATTAATTTTATGTTTTAAAATATATGAATAGAGAGGCACAACCCACACGCGTAAATATCAAGTAACGGTTAATCCATCATTACCGGGGACTTGCCTCGTTTCATACCGTCAAGCGCTGTATAAACTTCGTGGGGTGTGATAGAACGGTCACATGATTGGCTATCGACATCATTCAGGCTGCTAGAAGAATGCTTACAAAGTGCCGTCTGCTCACCAGAATCGTCTGCTATATACAAATTTTCATAATATTTAGAACATGTATAAAATATATCACCAGGATCATATATCTTATTTGAAGACACGTGATTAAACACTTCTCTTGATTTTTCTTTTCAAGACTTAAAAAATAAAATAAGATATACATTTAATCATTTATCAGATACTAAAGCGTCTCCGGACTTTGATCTTATAACGGCCCCTCTACCTTTATTTTATTCATACTCTGCTATCTTATTTTCCAAATCTTGAATTAAAATCGAATCTACATAAATAATAAAATACCTTTGGCTATTTTCCCTTGCAAAGTTATCAGTTTATTATTAGTCTGCCAATATTCATTTTTACGCGTTTGCTTATTTTACGTGAAAATAAAGATTCTTTTCTAATGGTATATTTTCAATTATCCCACCAAATTATAGGTTCTGTTTCATAAAGTACAGATATGCACTCGGGATTATTTTAGACCCAGATCCCCGGACCACGTTCAATGTCAAAATTCATATTGCATAACAAAATTATGGTCGCTAAGTCTTGTCGTTCGAATAGACGCATGCACAATGATGAGAGATAATCTAACCTGCTCATTTTCAGTAAATTATTCTGAGTAGCAGTGCGTGTTAGCCAGCGTTTCACCGCCTTAGACACCTGAACAAGCACACATCTATAGTGTAACTAATAAGTGTTAAATAGGGGCCTAATTGTTTTTGGGTTTTTTGTTTTTGTGAAAGGGACAATGAAAGTCGAGGCACAGCAAGTCAAAATCACAGCTAATTTATACATGAATGATCCTTGCAAAAATGAGACATAATTAATTTTCACAATTTGGAGTCATTGACTCATTGTAACAATCATTCAGCATTTTATAGTTTTTCGGGCCTATCTTTTGTTACTTTAGTGCCGATGTAAACCGTTGGTTGCCAATGGTTGAGTTTGTATGAAATGTAAAGCGCCTAGGGCCTATATAGTCTTTGAAAAGGGCAGCACGTTCAATTTGCAAAATATTTTTTCAGGTTTGTTGATGTGAATAATGATGCGGTGGCTTGTTTTGGTTGAAACATAATAATATAGATGGTTAAAAGTATAGCATCTCGGGTCTGTATGACGTCACAACAATAAAATAATTCAAAGCTTTCTCCGTGATAATATGCAGACTCCGTGGCGCAACGGTAGCGCGTCTGACTCCAGATCAGAAGGTTGCGTGTTCAAATCACGTCGGGGTCAATTTTGTAGAAATAGCAATTTTTTTTCCTACAAGATTAAAAGATTTGTGTCACGGAATGTCTAGATTTATAACACAAATTAATATGCTTTGATCATATCAATAATATTAATGACCATATATACAAGTTACAATGACGGTGATTGAAGATGTCCTATATTTTGGTAGACGATTGATAAAAAAAAAATAAAAAAAAATGCTTAATTAATGCTATAAGAAATAATATATTATTTTGTATACAGCCTAAAAAAAAATAAAAAAAAAAAATTCGACCACGACGAGACTCGAACTCGCAATCTTCTGATTCGAAGTCAGACGCCTTATCCATTAGGCCACGCGGCCACTCCCTGTTAACAGCTTTCTCGTTATATGAAGTTAAGTGTAGCTCACTAGGCTATTTGTCCGCTGAAAATCATAGATATCAGATTACTTACTAGTTTTAGTATACTACATGTGTTTACTACTTTTCACCTTATATTTTATATTAGGACAGTTCTATCAGTCTGGAAATAATCTAAATATCGATCTGATAGCCAGAGATCGTACAAATCATATAAGCCGGTGAACACAACAATTACAACACTCAACCGTTCATCACTCAGGGCGGCGTTTCAGGTCACGTGACTTTAGCGTGAAATCGGACAGCCAGCAGCTGAAATATAGCCCACTTCAATCTACGATTCTGAATTACTATTTTATGTAAATGCATTACTAGCAATTGTATTGCAATAGTTTAATATCAATCTCAATATCTGCAAAGATTCAGGCTAAAAAATTATCGAAATGTAAGCGAAATTACCGTTTGTAATACCGCTCTGACGTCACGCGGCCTGAGATTTTCCATTGCTACGACTCACTTCATTGGTGAATCCGCAGCTTAGTTTCCGGGGGATTTTGATATAGAACCAATCAAACGATAGATAACATTTTTGTGGTTATAATGGTTGTTGATACCACGTGATCGGACAAGTAGACCCGTAGAAAATGGGATTTATCTGTTTTGATGACTGAAAATTGTCAAATTTCGACTAAATATAAAAAAACTTTCTTGAGGTATCATCCAGATTATAAATATTTGACATAATCATTCAAATTATTACGATTTTAATAAATTTTAGCTGACAATAACGTGCGGATTTCAGTTTTAAAATTGGTACTAGCGATTCTGAAGGGAAAATACCGCTTATGACGTCACTCAAATATGACTGAAAAGCACTTATTTTGGTGCCAAGCCACGCGTTGACTGGTATAGAGCATTTTGATTACATTATTGACGTCGATCTCGGATTTTAAAATTCCATAACTTTGGATCTAATTAGAATATTTTGATGAAATAAAAAAATTGGGTAGCATTTTATGTATATTTTCACAAAATATTTTTAAAAAATTTTTTTCTGTCATTTGAAACTTTGACCTGAAAGTGAAACCCGTATCAACAGTCACAGAGCTCTTGCTAGAATGTGAACAGTCCATATATTATGATATATATGCTGATTTCACGATTTTGCCTTATTACACTATTTTGCCTCTACCGTTTTTTTAGGACTTCGAATTTTGTCTAATGGTTTGGATTGTTCGTACTTGGTTTTATTTTATTTATTATTTAGCAATTAACGGGACGCGGATGATACCCAATTGTCCATTCATCAGCAAAATTACACACATTATTTCCCAACGGGCCCGGTTAGCTCAGTCGGTAGAGCATCAGACTTTTAATCTGAGGGTCAGGGGTTCGAGTCCCCTATCGGGCTTCGATTTTTTAAAAACAATAAATTGATCCAGCATTAATTCAAACAAAAAACTAGAGCGCGGTGTGCTGTTAACAGTTATGTTTCTAATCTGTTGACTATAATTATAACAATATCATTGTGTTTCCTGTACAGTGTTACGCAAGGGCAAGGATTTACACCGGTACCGGTGTGGCAGTTTCAGATGGTTCCTGGTGTGTGATTACCGTTCGGCGCATGGGCAGTTGTAGGAGTCAACTCACACCGTTACAGGCGCGGTGTGCATTGACTCCTCGTGATAGGATTTCCCCCAAGATTTTCTTACGGTCAAATCAGACTATTATGTACCGATATTTACAGTATTAACACCACGAGAGGATGCAAATTGACGATCTTTATTATTATTATTTAGTATATATACCCGTCCACAATGCGAACATTCTCTCTTGTATTTGGGCTGTCAACATAGGCGTAGGAGCTCAAAGTAATTCAGGGGGGCATAAGAGAAAATTGCCCGAAATCAATACCGTTTTTTCGGGCATACATATCATAAGAGAGCTTCGGGCATATTTTCGGGCATGCAGTGGACAAGAAAAAGACGAGAAAATACTTTTCGGGCAGTGTGGATCTCATAGAAATAAGTTAGTTATACTTTTTCTCTAAACGTTAATAAAAAAGGTCGTCGAATTTTTCATTGCCCGAAAATAAATTTTTGGGGGCCCCGCCCTGCCCCCCCCCCCCGGCTCCTACGCCTATGGCTGTCTACATGCATGTTTGAATGTATGGGATGGTATAATAAATCTATATTTATGTTAAAGAAATCGCAATAAGAAATTCCATACTTTTATATTTGTGATAAATGAAGCCACGAAATATCAAAGGCCTTAATCTTCCCTTGGAGGTGAATTAATTGATAATTTCAAGCCAATCATCAATTTGTATGGTTTCCACTGATCGTACGTGTGTAGAACGACTAATCACTAAAAAAAAACAACGGCAACAAATCACGAACGATAGAAGTATCAATTTCAAGCCAATCAACTTAGATCCGTTGATCGTGTAACTACTCATCACTAAAACAACAGCTAATCACGATAACAAGTATGTTTATTAATGACAAAACTCTAATCAAGTACATGATCTACTTTTTCCTGGACTGTCTGACCAGGAACCAACTCGTACCGCAGGAAGTAGATATAGTTTCGTTATTAAGGCAAACATCAGTTTCGGACATGCGCAAGTGCCCAGGAGAAAACACACACCAGGAGTCAACTCAAACTATCACACCGGAATACATTACAAAATACAATAAATGTTTAGTTTTAAGTGTGTGATATTATTCCAAGCTGTTTCCTTGTCTACAATTGGTTGCTGTCGTCCCCCGGGGTTGCTCAATTTGCCGATATAATATAATGAATAAATGATACTGATGATAGTAAAACTAAGTAAAGTATTGCTTGAACTATCCAATACCTATTCCATTGGTTTTAACATTAACCGTGCAGTCTTCGTATTATTTGTTTGCATAACCAAATTATTATATAGAAAAGACAGATCTAAAAAAAATGAAATTTGTCGTACGTAACGATTTGGATACATTATTTACTTCACGGTACGTAGGATTGAAATTGAAATGCAATGCACTTTTCTGAACCATCCATTATACTATCAATCATCATCATATAGAATAGATTACTAGTTAGTACTATTACTATTATTATTATTAGTACGGGGAAACTGTCAAAATTTAACTACAAATCTTAGGGAAATCTCAACTACAACTTCAATGAGAAACTAGCTGTACGTGCAAAATTATCACTTTCCCTGCATTGCCACAAATTTGTAATAACGAAAAGGTAACTTCCCAAACGGGGAATCGAACCCCGGCCGTCGCGGTGAGAGCGCGAAATCCTAACCACTAGACCACTTGGGAGCACACGTTCATATAAAATTATAACACCACAAAGCCAGTGTGATGCCTATTACGATCTTTAATGTTTACTAAGCGAAAAGCTGTCGCGTGAATAGGCCTAAATAAAAAAAACAATTGCAACAAATTTACTCATACAAATAAATACCGTTTCAAAGATTTAACATTACATCCTTATGTAATAAGGAACCAAAACCAATCGTCCCTGGGTGGGCTCGAACCACCAACCTTTCGGTTAACAGCCGAACGCGCTAACCGATTGCGCCACAGAGACACATGTTAACACACGATTTGTTTCAAAAATAAAACCTTGAGTACGCCTACAATTCCCGCCAACTATTTCTTATGTTCATCAGTAAATCATATTCCTTAGCTCTAATCAAACGGAACACTGCGAGGAGTATGTCAGTAAATAGGTATGTTCGAATTGGTACTCACTCGGAGGTAAATCGTGAATTCCTTCACTTTACTTCAAAATAACATTACTCCTGACCTACATAAAAACAGCACAGAGTCAACAACCTTGTCGGTGAGTGCTCGGCTCGCAAAATGATATTGTTATAATTATATTCAACTCTTTGTCAACAGATTAGAAACATAACTGTTAACAGCACAGAGCGCTCTAGGTTTTTGTTTGAATTAATGCTGGATCAATTTATTGTTTTTAAAAAATCGAAGCCCGATAGGGGACTCGAACCCCTGACCCTCAGATTAAAAGTCTGATGCTCTACCGACTGAGCTAACCGGGCCCGTTACGACATTGGAATTCATTGACTTCATAAACCGATCTTGCATCAAACCGATCTTTTCTAATCAAAACTTTTTCAATCATGAATTAACTTTTCAGACTCGAGTAACTTTAGAACCGATTACTTCATTTAATTAAAGGACATATTATCACAGCACTTTTTATAACCTTGTACAGTTTCATATATACCGGTATCTAATATTGTTTATTTAACAAATCTTCAGGGCCAGTGGACTAGCGTTGAGGTCAATTTCTGAAATCTAATTTAATTAGCTTCAATTTCTGAAATGTAAGTAGTGAAGTACAATGATCAATGATTAGAGACAGGTGTGATGCACGAACCAGGATATGTTTCTCTTTCTCCTCCCATGTAAACAAACTAATTATTATCACTTTCATAAACTGTCACAGATTCACAGTACTTTTTTTGTATATACAGGGATAGGCCTACTTGTTAAATTCTTAAAGAAACATATGAATTCCCATGCTTAGTACTCAATTTTACTGCAAAATAATTTCCCCCAAGTCTAGGAGATGTAATTTCAGGGACTCTAGTTACAAAAATTTCTCCAGGGGACAACCTGAATTTCTCGGCTCATGGCTGCATCACTCGTATTAGGGGCTTGTGCAGCGGTCTGTCTCATTTTTGCTAATTTTCAAAATTACATAAAAACAAAAATTCCACATAATAAAATTTTTAGGTGATATAATTGTTATTTTTTAATGTTTTGTATGAATGAATGACCATAAATTCATAAATGCAGAAATATGTAAATGCACAGGACTACAAAACTTAATTGGGGTTTGTCTCAAAATAACAATGAGTAATTGTAATGTTCATTATAAATCAACTAATTGTTTTCTGTTTGTGTAACTGTAGACTTTTCCTTGCCATTTCTAGAACCCCTTCATATGAGTTTGCCCCTCCAATAAAACCATTGGCATGTACAAAGACACAGCCTGGAATACTAGTCTTTTCACTGAGTTCTTCTCCTCGTAGACCCAACCATTCTTCAGGTAACGTTAATCTAAAATAGACAATAAAATATACTATAATTTTTACTAAAAAGTTTGGATAACAGTAACACCTCCAAGGTACCAAACATAATTACAAGCCGAGTTTATTTTTTTAACCAAAAAATGTTAAAATCTGATAATAAATAATTAAAATTTGTACGCATTCAAGGTATGGCATATCTTTATTATTAATATCATTTTTAAAATGTACTATTTCAAGTTACTGGCTTATCTGTTATGGCAATAGACAAAAAGCAAATTTGGAACCACAATTACTTTATCACAATACTTTTGGTTCTGGCAGTGTCTAATAGTAAGAGCAGGAGGACCGCACGTCCGCACTACATGCAAAAAAAAATCTACAGGATAAACCTGCAGACAAGACAGAAAATAGACATTGCACCAAATAAAAAAAAAAGAACTTCTTATATTTAAATATTTTTAATTACCTGTTGTCAAAAGTACCCAAACGTAGTGGAACACACTGTATACGCCATTGTCCACTCAGGTCGGCAAATAGAACATACTTGATAAGAGGATCAATATTAAGTTCCTCCTCTATAGAGAACAGATGATCCTTCCAGGGAGCACCACCATTCTCAAAACACATTATTTCTCCACTTTCATCAATCTACAGACAATTAGAAATTGGTACACTTTTGCTGGCCTAAACTCTAGAAAGATCTGACTAGTTTGCATGGAAAATTAAGTCATGGGTCACATAGCTGAACCTTGACTGAAGATATTAATTTAACCTATGCCCTCATTGCCCTTTCTCTCATAGTTCAGTGCAGACTGAAGACTTCACTTACTGTTGGAATAAACAGACCTTTTTATTGGCTAATATCTTAGAGAACGCATCCAAATAGGGCTGACAGAAAATATTGTCAATAAAGCTTTTTGAAGATAGATAATCGATACATATTTAAATATCCATAATCGCACAATTATAGGTAGTCACTTGTCAGAAGAAATCCATTAAAGATAATCCTTTTCACAGTGTTCTTTGCAACCCATGCTTAGGCCTAGCTCAGTAAATGTAATTTAACAGAAAAGTCATCGCCAAAGACTAGAAAAAAATGCCAGCACTAAGAATTGTCTGACGCTTATGATGAGAGCGAATAGTTCCTCATAATGTAACATATTGTGGAATATTGAAATTATATAGATCTCATAGTGACCAAGAGTTAAAAACATGAATTAAGCCGTTAAACAAGGCGTTCTCTGTGCATCAGAAATCACTACGAAAAATATACTATTACTGAATCTGTTTCATCAAAGGGAAATAACTACATTTTACACATCATTATTGTTCTGGTGATAACATAAATATGTCGAGCGGTGACAGTTCTGTTTTCCAAACAAAGTTGATTGAGATGACACCTTGGTTTTGGTACGGAATTGTCAAATCAATAAAATATAATTATTCTACATTCAACTTGTATTCATAATGATACTACAGCATAAACTCATATATAATTCGTTTATTTTCGTTATTCATATATATATTCTGAATGTTTTCAAAACAAATTATAAGTAAATATAATATGCTGATATTATTGATCCTTGAAAGCAGTATCGATTGTCAGTCATACTTCCAAATCTGACTCTCATGAAAAATAAAATTTGAATTCTAAAAATCTGAACAAAATGGAATCCCTGTTTTAATTATACTGAATACCCCAGTGTTAATAAACCATTTCATTTCACACCTAATAAGGACACCTTAATTCACGGCATAAAATCTTTCAGCCAGTATCAAAAGAATGTTGTCATTTTGGGCAAGCGCAAAATTTAGGGCCGCCATCTTACCTTATGTCTGTTATTGACTGCTGTTAGAACCACGTCGCGTGCTGGTAGCCAGGAATTTTTATAATGATTAACACGGTCCATAAATTCTAAACCTGTCAATGCTACAGCCTTTTCAAAACATTTCTAAAAATAAAAACACAACATTTTTAAATAATGAAAAGAAATTATATGCAATGGGGTTCATTTTCCTACATCAACTGGGCTAATGCTAGGTTTCCACTATAAGGATTTCTGCTAGACACTGTTCCTTGCAAGGTACTCCATCCTGCACCACTGACATGAGATACAAGACTGGGAGCCTTGTGTACATCACCTGTCAATAACTATAACTAAATGGTACTGGAACTAAATGCTTAAGAAAAGCTACCAAATACTTCTTGTTTTCAAATTATATTTTTTCTGAAGGAATAGGAAGCAATGTTTTAAAAGTAAAAATTTCCTGGAGATCAAAACTGAAAATTGGGGTGGCCTAACTTTCAAACATCATTTCATTATTTTATATGTGCCTTGCACTATGTGCCCTACTTATGGTACTGAAGATAAAATCTTACATCTCTATCGTCTTGTTTTTCATTCCATGCCGGATTCAACCCACCAACTCGTGAACTTAAACCAGTTGTCTGTCGATATCTGTATAATACAAAAGTAAAGTTAAACTGTTAGCTAATTTCTATACCAAATTGTTAGCTTCAAAACTATTGGCTACTTTCTATACAAAACCATAAGGTACATTCTATACAAAACTGTTAGCTACTTTCCATAGAAAATTTCTATACCAAATTGTTAGCTCCAAAACTATTGGCTACTTTCCATACAAAACCATAAGGTACATTCTATACAAAACTGTTAGCTACTTTCTATAGAAAATTTTCTAGGAGAGCCATTATAATCACTGAATGGATGGAAGACATGGAAATAATGATATCTGATGTACTTGTGACCACAGATATAAATTAATGCCAGAAAAAGATTATTGGTACTCAAAGAATACTACCTAGAGAAAACTGAATATACATGCCAAAACAAAAGAATAATTTTAGCCATGTGTGCTGTTGATTCATTATTTTTTTTTTAATTAACCCATGTTGATTTTATTATGAAAAACAAAAATGTTTGTTCAGAAATGCAGGGATCACGGTGGCTAAGTGGGTAAGATGCTGGCTCGCTAGCCTGGAGATCGGGTGTTCGATCCCTGCATTGGCCGAGAAAGTGCATCAAAATTTTCCAGCGTGGTTCCCCCTTGTCAGTGATGCAGGACGGAGACCCTGACAAGGACAGCTGTCTAATCGTTCTGATGGTACGAAAAACCGAGGTCCAGTGTACACATTGGCGTGCACGTAAAAGATCCCATGACAGTTGGAATTCGATAGAAGAGTAGGCCGTAGTGTCGCTGTCCAGGCAAAATTTCCCTCATTGTTCGGAAATGCATTCTTTTTTTTAAAAGGAGTTGATTTCCGTGGAGCTTCTGAAGAAGGCAGCATACTTCTATTATGGACAAATATTCAGACTATGTTTGACCTACCTGGGAGTTTCGTCTGTTGGGTTGATACCATTATCAACAGCGTCAATCTCTTCTACAAAATTCTCATAAACTTTATCATAGATTAATTCTGTTATTGGGTCTTCTTTAGGTTTATTAAGAATATCTGATATTATTTGACGACCAAAATGAAAGTAGACCAACCCAGCACTGCTCAGTTTTGTCACCCACTTTTTGGTTGAATCAAGACTGTTAAAATTTTCTTTAAATGTTCTGGAAAACAAAAATATTTAGACTGTAAAAGATATGGTTATCTTCAAATAAATTCACAGACGGACAAAAAATATCTGACCTTTCGAGTCAAGGAAATTTGACACAAAACATATTCAATAGTGACTTTCGTAATTACCATTTTTTTTTTTTTAAAAAAGTCCCTATTACTATTTCTAAAAAAAATAATTCTACTTTTAAATAGAAATAATTTCATTTTTTTTTTTTTAAATTCTACTATTTTAAAAAAAATCTAATTTTTATTTTTCTAAAAGACAGAAATTTCTATTTTAATAAAAAAAAAATTATTTTAAAAAAATTCCAATTTTCATAAAAAAAAAATTCCAATTTTCATATAACCCAAATTCTTTTCTCTTTTCAAATCTAGATCATTTATGTTAGAATAAACCCAACATGGTAGTTGGTGGGTTTTACCTTTGATGATGATCAAATCGATTTTTTTCTGGATCATAAACACTGCCAACATCTACCACAATATCACACGTATCTAATATCTTCGGTTCTCTAGTTCTAAAATACAACAGTTTAATTAATTTTACATATCTTGGCAATTAAAGACTTCACGTGAAACATGAAATTATGTATGAAATTAACAGATACAAATAATAGAAGACAAAGTGTTAAATATAAATATATTTTATACAGACCGGATGGTAACTTGTCATTTCTATGTGGGCGTATAAAAAGGATCGTAACTGTTTCGGGTTTCACAGTTCTTGAGGAAATAAAATAATAAATACAATAATCGCATTGTAGCGAACACTTAAAAAATCAGGTTTGTGGATAAAGTGGGATTGAATGTTTTGGTAGATTGCAGGGGATGACAAACTATTTCTTTAATGCCATATGTATCATGAATGAATTCACTGATACATGGATCTCAATCTAACTTGTGTTTTTGCAAAGAAATTAATAGATACATGTACATGTATAATTTCCCTAGACTAACCGTATAATTTCAGCACTTTTGTATTCTGGTAACTGTTTTAACAGAAAACATGCCAAAGCTTCATCACAGTGAAAATTACCACCATGAGTTCCAATCTTCTTCTCCATTTCTATTTTCGATTTCTTGCAGGGAGGTTCATCATCTTTACCATTATCAGACATTTTAAGGTTCAATTTCTGTAAAATGCTTGAAAGGAAGGAACTGAAAAATAAACATGATCAAATCTAATAATAATAATACAAATATCTTATAAATATACCATTCTCCCAGTTTGTAGTTTGTTCTATATATAAATACTATCTCTCTTCTCACCTTACAGTATTAGAAGCCATCTTAATATGAAGCCTATGGGGAAAGTAGATATAAATAGATATATTAATACAACAGAAAACAGTCAAACTTATGAAACAAAATTCACTTGATCATATGATGAACTACAAACTACAGCTACTACTAGCTTATTAATGATTCTGTGTATAGTTAAAGCTGATCTTTGTATGTGTAATTTAAGCTTATGTTACATCATGCTAATGGGTATTATTCTAGTGTAACCTCCCACTCTTTTGTCTACAGTAAGCTTATTAACAAACCAAATACTATTATTGTCTGTATATACAACATTCAAACCAAATACTCAATCCAACCTATCAATATAAGATAGTTGATAGACCTAATCAGATGTGTCCATTAAATTGTTAAAACAACTATTTCTTCAGAACCTATTAACTACATTGTTTTGGGGTTTTTTTTAAATCAGACAGCAGCTTATACCTTTATGAAGATGTATTCTTGAGGTGATTCACATAAAGGGGATTAAAGAAGTTAACCCGTTAAGCGTGACATTTTTAAAACGTTAACTACCCCCTACTGTGTAATTAATTTGACGAAGTGACAAAGAACTATGTACTCTATGTTCTAAGAATAGGTTGGGAAAAATACCCCCAAGGCGTTATATTATGCCCTACACACAGTGAGTGGCAGTTGTCCAGGACATAATATAATGTCCTACACATGCTGCGATCGTGGGGGAATTCCCAAGGGATTCCCCCCAAGTAACGAACTATGTTCTAAGAATAGGTTGGGGAAAATACCTCCAAGGCGTTATATTACGCCCTACACACAGTGAGTGGCAGTTGTCTAGGACGTTATATAACGACCTACGCACTTAACGGGTTAATGAAAAGTCCCATAGATACCGTATCTCAAAAGACATGACTGTATAATCTATGAAAGGGGGGGGGGGGGCGACAAATTTCTTTATTTTACTTCATCATCCCTTATTCTGGAAGAACCTCTCAAACACGACTATTAAACCTCCTAAGAAACAGCTGTCTGTGATATCAGCCTACGCCAGAAGTTGGCTTTTAGGTGAATCCTAGTATCGTTCAAAATTGGTTCTCTGACATATCATTCTGATCCCATTCTCAGACTTAAGTTAAGAATTTACTCAACTTTCAATCACTGTTTATGAGAAATGTCTTTGATCCAAAAACACAAAACTTTACAAATAGTTTCTTATTGGTGTATTTGATACATTCAAACAACAAAAGTTTTATAAAGGGCTATATTTTAGTTAAAATAAGGCGAACAATTTTTAGTAAATTCTTAACTTAAGTCTGAGAATGCTTTGTGAACTCGGGGCCTGATGCTTAGAGATGCAGCCTTACTATTGAATTCACCTAACCAAAGAGTACCAATCAAGGCCTTTGTTTAGATTTTAAAAGCTAATAAGTATACATCTTGGTATGCATCAAATCTGTCCCTTTTATCTGTGCATCATATGGTTCATTTCCTTTCCTGAAATGGGTCAAGTTTTTTCTTTATTTTGTGTGTATTAAACTTTAAAGGGTGTACATGGCTCTATTTCTCAATGAAATAGATGAAAATGAGTCTAAAAGCACATATTAAAGCAATATAAAGGTATGTAAAGTGAAATAGGGTTTAACATCCACCCGACATAAACTAGGTCATTTTCAGACTAACATATTGTTCAATTTTATTTCAATAATTCGCTTGCGTGTAGGGGTCTTTAGCAGTGGGAGGAAACCGGAGGACCCGGAGAAAACCCATGAGGATGGACAGGTGACCCTACTTCTTGTCCTGTACAACCGGGGAATCGAAACCACGTAAGTTGTCTCAGTGACATACCTTATGATGCAACTGACACGGCATGCACTAACCATTTGGCCATCTAACCCCCCTTGTACCGCACTGATTATTTTCATGGCAAGATAACAACATCAATATTGATTGAAATGGACCAATATTGAATTTGAAATATTAAGTTAGAGATTTAGCTCCTTTAAGGATCTAGATTTAAAATGTATCAACCATATACATGTAAGCTTATATAAATTTTTGGCGACATTAAACGATAAGGCTTATTTAGTCTTTCACAGGTAGTTTTGCATTGTACAACAACCATTAATCCATCCATTGTGCACATGGCTATTGTTTAAACTGCACTGGGTGCACAACAGCAAGCACCTGATTACCTAAGTGCCATATTGTACCTGATTTTAAATACATTTTGGTCAATTGAACTGGATTGTAGATATAGACTGATCTTAACATAATTTCAATATGTCCATTCAACAATTTGATCAGTGACTAAACATACTGTATGCCAAGGCCCAAATGAACTTGATAATGAACTCTCATGAGTATGCCTATGCCTATCAAAAGAGCCATCGTAGATTGTGTGTATTATTGTGTCTTGTGTGTTAATTATTCAGACTGTGGAAAAAAACTTGTGAAAGTTTCGTGCTAAATTTAACCATTTTTACTGCATCTGTGTAGTATACAATAACTCATGGTACCTTTACGGTAAAAGAATTCAAAGTGTTGATTGGCTGAGGCATGATCGCGATCTACGAAATGCCATCAGAAAATTCCATTCTCCATGGATTTCAAAATGGAGTTATACTTGTGATTAATATATAGTTAATAACTTCATGAGAGTACAATCGTATGGATACATTGCCCTGTGAATTTCAAAATGAAGCTGGGATTTTTGGAAATTAATTGTGTTACCAAGGCACACGATTATAAAATTCTGAACAGTTTTTGCACAACGGAAATAATATTCGAAGAGAAACAGAAAGACATGGAACTATCTGCCGATAATTAAACCGATGTGCGGTATGATTTGTTGATAATAATGTTTGGTATTTATACCTAAATGTAAAATACATCGGCAATTACGGATTTACCTCGGCTACAGCAGATTGAGAGGACTGCTTAACTTCATCAGGAAATATTAAAGATATTCAAAGCTGAGATTCAACGCCGTAAAACGAATGTCATTCTTTTTGTAATGCACCTGTGTTCAAAAGAAATAATCCCACCCAACTCTCTAACCAAATAATTAATACAAGACAGAAACAAAATAACGGACTACGGGCGTATTTATGTTTGTAAACGCCCAAACTCATTACTGGGTCCGAGAGCAATAGCTTATTCATACACAAAATTTGAAATGTCATAAAAGGGCCAAACACCATTACGATAGACAAGCCGAATTGCTGCGACCCCTTATACGAAATGATCTATCCCGCTAAGTGACGTAATTACTGCTTCCATTTTGCATTTCTCGGTGTCAATGTTTGTGATTAGTTCAGTTTTACAAGATAGAACTTTTTTTACAAGATAGTAGTTTTTTCATAATCGAAGAAATCCATTTAATTTTAAAATTTACCACGGTTCAGACAGGAGTAGCCTAACTAGTATCAGTCGTGTCAGCGACGCAAATCATGCATGAGTACCCATATTCACTGAATATCAGTAGGCCTATAGTATGTATCAGTGGGCTGGTTAAAATCTTCATAACATATCATCTTTAATGATATCCTTGCATGTTTATAATGAATTCTATACTTTCCAGCAAGGCTGCAAGGTGTTCTAAACCTAGCATCATACCTACACCGAAAAGGTTTAGTGCTAAACTCACTGGTTGCGAAACTGAAAGTAGAGCCCCAAAACAAAGAAGAAAGCACAGGAATCTGACCTTCTATCCGTATATATATATATAAAGCACAGGAATCTGACCTTCTATCCGTATATATACGGATAGAAGGTCAGATTCCTGTGCTTTCTTCTTTGTTTTGGGGCTCTACTTTCATATATGCATACACCATGTCGTACCAGACAATATATATATAATTATTATACATGTACATTGTCTGGTACGACATGGTGTATGCATCAGCAAATATATACGGATAGAAGGTCAGATTCCTGTGAAGAAAGGGACATATTCTGACACAGATAATAATCATATGACGCTAAATAACAAGTATGAATTTTAAACTGTTAATCAGTATTGAAAAATAAAACTTAAGAATCATAAAAACAGATACCCGTATCGAAAACTGTGACAAATAACTTTCCTTGCAGTTAATAACCCACGACTGAAATCCGTTTTGGAAATTTCCCACCTTTCGGTGAATGAGAGTTATCTCCTCAATTTAAAGGGACAATAACACTCTTGCTGGCTTGACAGCTCCAGTAAATAAATATTAGCCTTATTCTAAGTATTAGATGTTTAAGTGTCCTACCTGTTGTGTAAATTATCCATTACATCCGATTTTACTTGTCCAGGGGGTTCGAAAATATTTTTAAATCCAAGTCACATTTGAAAAGGTTTACGTTAGGCTTTTCAATCATTTATTTAGTTGAATTTTTCCAAATTTTTAAAATTAAGTGTGTTAAGATGAAATTTGTATCATCAATTAATTGGAATACTGTAAAATAGTACAATTTGTTGACCAGAATAAAAATTGGGACATATTATTCTGTTACATTAACAGATATGGCGATATGGCCAACACTTACTTCGAATTCCAACTGTACATAAGACCTCGCGATTTGTCTTCTCAAATCCGTACTACTAGACACTGCCCTAATGTGTCCTTGCCAGGTCCTTGTACTTATACGCAGAATTAACCTGTTCACTACAAAATATCTGACTTCCTCTTTAACTATTACATCTTGAAACCGTACCATCTATTTTACATCTGAAAACTGACATCGAGGGGTTTTTTTTTATTATTATTATTTCAAACTTTTTCTGAACTTCATACAAACATCATACTTCAGTAGAATTTGTGAAGAGGCTCATAGCTAGACGCCTTCAAAGCGTGGATGGAAGATGTTCATTCAAGGGAAAAATCGGTTTCAAAAATAAAGAATACATTTCGGCGATGACAATTTTGGCTTGCTTCACCAGATGACTGATAAGTACCCTATCTGCTATAATAAAATAAAGCTCTATAAAAAAAAAAAGAAATTACACATAATTATTGACAATTATAAACGTCTAATTGTCGGGTACTCGTTAAAGATATAAGGCACCGAGTAAATTGTCTGTTTAACGAAGTAAAGAAATTCTCACCAATCTTGCCTATACATAATGTCTACAACTTCGTTAAATATTCACGAGTGAAT